ATTATAATACTAATTAAAATTAATTTTTTAATAAATACTAAAAATATAAAGCAAGCTTACCGAATATTAAAAAATATTTATAACTAAACTAATTTTTTATTTTTTAATTTTAAATATATAATAATAGTAAAGACAGATATCTCAGACTATAATATAAAAAAATACTTTTTTAAATAAATAAAATAAAAAACTATATTTATACCCTGACATCGACTCTGCTACCGCCCTGACACGGTCAAAACAACCGTGGGCTTCCGCTGGATGTCCATTCTTTTTCGCCTCCTTGCCGCTATAGAGGTCCTCATAAATTTCCGAGTCGGCCAATTGTGACTCCAGGAAGAGATCGGTCATCTGTGTAGCATCTTGTTGGTAGAGAGCTTGTTCGACGGACGGCTCTGGATTGGAATCGACAAGGTCCTCTCCTGCCTGTAAGCCATTGACCAGTTCCTGAAATATGTCAAGGCCTGACGACAGGCCTGCCGGGCCTGCCGACTCATGCGTCTTTCGGATGTTCGTGATGTATGCCCGCACGCGCTCGATGAGGTGCGGTACAGCTCTCTTTGTAGCAAGACCCAGCATCTCGATTGAAATCCATCGGGCGAGCCGGGAAACTTCCGCCACCAGCCCTGGCTCTCGCTTCTGGACCTCGAGGCACTCGTCCAGAGCCCGCTCCAATGTCCTGGTGCAGCTGGGGAAATCACGCACCATTTGATAGACCTTCAGCTGATCAATTATGGAATGCACCCGTGACAATGAGGCCTGCAGAGCTTGGAAAAGAGTTTCTGCAAGCCTGAAACAAGCCAAGGCGCGTTCATAGTCGCCGACATGGTTGATCCATCGCCACCCGATGCGGGCGAAGAAGAGGCCAACTCCCAGGGTAAACCCAAAGCCTCCTTCTCGACGACCCCAGGTCCCAAGTGACGCGCCAAGTTGCTGGGTTTGCTCGCTCTGGTCGCCTTGTCCAATGGCGCAGAGAGCCAACTGCGCGCGGCCCAGCTGCACGGCCATCATGTCGCCGAGCTCAGACGAGATCGCAACGGCGCGCTCAATGTCCGTCTTCGCCGCCGCAAAGCTCGACTCGAAGACAATGCGTCGCATACCCTCAAGGACCTCGAGGTAGCCGAGCCGCATCTTCACCGCGGCGATCCCTCTCCGCGCATTTGCTGCCGCAAACCGCGTCAGTGCCGCATCATACCGAGCCTTGGCCTCGCCAATGCTCTCCGTGTCAACGTCCCATTCGGCCTCATCAGCCTGCCAATGCAGACAAGTATCGTACGTTGATTCCGCCAGGAGTGAATTCCAAACGCCAGGTGAAGACAGCGGGGCGGCGAGAAAATCACCCCGCGTGAGTTCGACATCGGCCAAGCCGATCGAATCATCGACTTCGCGAGCAAGTTGCTCGGCTATCGCGAGATCCTGCATTGCTTCTTCCCGTCCATGGATTCGTAATGCAATCCGAGCTCGGACGAGTCGCATGTGGCCGAGGATCCTCGGATCTGGACGCCAGATTGCCAGGGTGTCGTAGTCCGTATCAATGTCTGACAGCAAAGTATCCTGCGCGGTACGAAACGTAGAATCAGCCCCTGGATTGGCTCGTGGAAAGGAGGTGAGGTCGTAAGGGAGCCCTGCTTTACACAGAAGAGATTTGATTCACAGTCTGCGGTGTAGACTGAGAATATTGCTTTGCGATATGGAACCATCCTCGGGAAGGTCGTCGAGGAAGCGAGCGTTATTGATCGCAAGCCCGATACACGGTTTGAGGGGTCCTTTGAATGATGTAGAAACCATTGCCCGTGTTCTCGAGAGACAAAGCTTTCAGATAATGCGATGCTGCGGCCCCGACGCCACGCGTGACGGGATCCTGACGGCATGGCGCAACTTGATCGACACAAGCACGACTGGCGATGCGGTGACCATCTACTACTCCGGCCATGGTGGCCTTGTGAAGAGCTCCGAACCAGATGCAGATAAACATCGGCCGCTGCAATTCATCCTACCCTTTGAACTTCAGGGGTATCTTGGAGATTGAGTTGTCGCATCTGCTACGGGAGACCACCGAGAAAACCGAAAATGTCACTATCATCCTAGACTGCTGTCATGCCGGGCGGATGGCTCGTGATCCCAGACATGGCAGACGAGCAAATCCCAAGAGGATCGCCGACGTGCAGTATCACGACCTCCGGCAACATCGAACACAGCTCCGGCAGAGTGGCCACCTTGCACGCGAATTGGATCCCTTGGGGAACCCCAACGCTGTGCGTGTCATGGCGGCGGCTGCCACCGAAACAGCCTGGGAGTGTGAAGGTCCCGAAGGCGAGTGGACCGGCGCGCTGACGGATGCCTTAGCGTCTGCGATCGACGAAGCCGGTCAACGGCAGGTATCTTGGAGATCGACCCTGTTACGTGTGAATGAGCTCGTACATGTCCAGTTCCCGCAGCAGCACCCCGTCGCCGAAGGACCGGACACCCGCCTCTTGTTCGCGACTCAGACGGTCGCGTCCAGCGCCGTGCTCTTGAAGATGCAAGGCAATGATCCAGTGCTCCAGAGCGGTTACGTTTCAGGCGTTCGTAAAGGAGATGTTTATGTTCTCATGCCCGCCGGCCACGAGGTTCCCGACGCTCGATTCAGAATCGGGGAAGCGACTGTCACTGCCGTGAATGGTTTCAAAGCCAAGGTAACAGTGGAGCTTGATTCCCCAGGCGAGGCGACGCATGCGGGACCCTCACGAGTGACTGAAGTCGCCGCCTCCAGCAGCAACAGTATTCCTGCGGGCGAAGTCACATCTACGACCACTCCAACCAACCCCTGCACAGAAGAAGATGTGACCAACAAGCCGAATTCCTCCGATTCTACATATCCTGAGTCCCCAGGAGCAATACCTAGATGGGTACTGATGTGCTACCAGCAGCATGGTGACAACGGACACAAATATGCACACGTGAGAGTCAGTAGGGGCGATCGCGATAGGCAATTGTTTCAGAAGTTGAAGTCGGAATACAGCAGCAGGCGTGACATCCGTCGATCCTTTCGACCCGTTGACCTTGTCCATTTCACTCAGGTAACCTCCAAAATCCGCGATATATCTTTCCGTCCTGACAAGTTCCTAGTTCAAGCCCGACTCAGGCGACTATATAGCGGCGAGGGAAGACAATGTATGGCCAGAGAACGGCATTCCTGACTGGGAAATTCCAGATTCAGAATCACCGGCTGCTGCCAGGCTCAGAAGGATTGCCACAGATAGCAAGTACCTTGCCCATCGCTTCAATCTTTCCCACGAAAATGAGGGATGCATGAAATGGATAAAGCTCAAATACGCGCTGATCAAAGGCATCGCAAGCGCCTTTCCGCGCGTACACGATGCTGAAGCAGCATCCACTCCCATCGGCGAGAAGAGTGTGATTGAGACCATACCGATGAGGTTGAGGAAGGAGATTCAATATTCTCCGACAGGCAATCCACCCAGCTGGGGGTTCATTGTCGAGGAAGACGTCGACACATCTGTCTGGAAGAGAGCTGTCAAGAAGAATCTTATTGTGGGCCTGTTTTCATTTGTCGTGCTGAGAGTATTGTTTGGCCACAATCTCGTTCTTTGGCTTGGCCCTGCGATGGTTCTCATTCACTCGATTTTCACGATTATTACTTGTTCTCTGTAGTAACCGAGACCGGATCGGCAGCCAGGCCTTATGAGATTTGTCTTCTAGTTTGCGTTTTCGACACCTCTCAATCGTATCAGCCGAAGTCTAAATTAGCAATGACGGTAGTTGCATCCTTGAGAAAACCCAAAGGTACAACATCTTTTTCTGATCATATGACTTCAAGAAGGCTCCTAATCAGAATTAAAAGTCATTATTTAAGCAAGTATTTACATGGTTTGATATGTATTCGGCATGAATTTTTCGGTTCATGGGTGGCTAAATGCAGGTGGGAAGGGCCTTTTGAACAATAGAAATAGATAGTTATGCTATCTCCGGTCTATACTTATCTCTACTAGACCGACCATGTTGAAGGGGTTTCTGGTTCAGCAAAATCCCGTATAGTATCCATACACTGGCATTCGCCCAGAATAAACATGGATCGGACTCCGTATGACTTCCTCTGCCAGCTAAATCATCACGAGAAGTGGACTCTCCATGACGTTCTGTCATTGCTGAGAGGATCAGAATTAGTGGGTATGGGTCATGAAGTACGAAAACGAGGGGCTTCCGCCCTCGGCAAGCGATGAGTTGAGGCGTGCTTGAGAGGAAACAAAAGCGAAGCTTTAATTCTAGGCTGGGGCCAGAAGAAAAATTATGATCAGCAGAGCCAGGGGTGTTCAAAGTCTGTATTATTAATATTACCAAGCTGTGTAACACAAAATACCTAAACAATACAAGACGATGACACCTGCGACTTTATAGTAATAACTCCGGCGATTTCAGCGGTGACTGTGTACTATACTAACCCTAACATTCTGAACTACTCTAAAACTCAGATCAGTGCTTCCCTCTGTCTCTCCTCAACTTATATAGGTTTATATTCAGTATAGTCATATAATAACTACTATAGTATCATAGTAGGCAACTTCATCAAGACTACAGATCTAATCAATTGGAACCCTCAACTGAATACTGACTACTCCAATCTGTATTCCACGGATCTAGAGTGGGGTTTTGGTGCTGTGCGCTTCACCACCCGGCAGTACATACACAGTCATGCACTTAACCCAAGCTCATCATCTGATGCTCCCACCCCCTATAGTACCCCCCGTGGGGGCGACGGTGGCTCCGAATACTACCCTGAACTGTGGTACCTGGTTTGTCTATACGGCCAGAACGAACTACAATTGTTCCACCATTTGTCTGGAAAACCATATTGCCATTCCCCCGTTCACGGAGGCCGACCCCTCGCTGAATTACAGCAGCTATAACGTGGATCTGCTTGTTGGCGATGCATATGGCGTGGATCCCTGGATGGCTGGTAGTATAGCAGCTCAACCGCTATCAACAGCACTGCTGCCAACTCATCCGTCATCGCTGCCACCAGCCCCAGCTTCCCTACTCAGGCTGATATTCCCGCTAACTGCGACGCCTGGTATGAAGCTCAAGGTAAGTCTTGTCGTATAAACCTCTTCTACTACCTCCCTATGGACTGGAGACTGAACATTCCGGCTCCCCACCAAGCAGATGACACCTGCGACACCATTGCAGAAAGTTTTGGCATCACGACCGCTGAGTTTCTGGCCTGGAATCCGGCCCTTTACTCCGACTGCTCATCTGGCATCCGGCTCGAGGAGGACTACTGTGTCGGACTCAAATCGAGCCTTGCGGCACGACTATCAAGGTAGTTCCTACCGCTGCGCAGAACAAATCCACATCATCCTTATCAACGCCATCTACCACTACCTCGGCCGTCACAGTCCCTGCCCCGACACAAGCCGGTATCCCAGCGAACTGCAATGGATAATACGTGGTTTAATATACATACTCTTGTTCTTCACCCACAACATTCTAGTTTCTCTCTTTTCCTCCCCCTCTCTCTGTCTTCTATTCTAGGCCCCAACGTAGCACACATAGAACTAAATGGATTTTGATTCTTTCAGCGGGTGATCTTTGAGCCACAATCGAAGTTGCCTACGGCATTATTCTCGCCCGGTTTCTTGAGTGAAACCAGCAGTCTCGTCGGATTGTTCGACTGGATTCTGGGCAGAGTAGGGCCGTATTGCGTGTCTATCTCTCTTGAAGTGTATTCTGGTTGGCGTCTGTTATCGGGGCCTTTGTCTGGAATTTCTTTCCCCGTATATTTATGATACTCCGGGTTGGGGTGAAGCTTAAATGCTGGGTAAAACGAAATGCTTCCCTTCGGATTAGACGGTCTGCTGTTAATACTACAGTACCTACACCCACTTTCCTTCTCTCTTACAAGTATTAGCACTTTCCCTTTTCGCGACCTTCTTCCTCGATGCTTTGATATGGCCGATGAACTTTGTGTTTCTTACATAGTTGCATATAGCTAGGAAGCCCTCTTGAGGCGGTATAAGATCGGGATCAAACTGATTGATTTCTCGCACTCCTCACCACGGAGTTTCTGGATATCACTCAAGGCCAACTTGAGCCCGCGAAGGCTTTCCTCTAGCGACCTCTGCTCTGCTTTTGGTAGGGCCTGAAGCCTAGCATCAAGCGATCTCGCCTTTCCGGCTGCGACCCCCCATCTATCAATCCAGAGACTAAAATCCGACGTCCTGACCACCGCCCAACTCTCGCGCATGAGATGTTTTTGCTCGATACAACGAGAGAACTCAACCCTGATCGCGGTGACCAGGTCTTGAAAACACATGTTACCGGAGGCCATGATGGGGCTGCTACGGATCAGGTGGATCTTTCAGGAAGGATCAAGGGAGGAATACAGACGGTTATGGTGTACAGACAAGGGTGAGTCGATGTCCTATGCCAAGGGTAGGCTAAGGAGAAACCAAGTAGAGCATTGCGCGCTTCTTATGTGTTTTTGTGGTAGGTAGGAAATGATTGAACCGATGAACGAGATATCTTTGATGGTCATTGTGGACAGTTTAACAATTGACTTATTTCCTTGTGTAACATACATATTCTAAAAGGTCTGTGATTAGCAACTAATTGTCAAAATACCTTGCTTTCAATTCTCGCTAACAATCAAACCGGTGAAGAAACAATGGGCTTGTCCTGCTGCCATAATGCCATCGTTCACGAGCTCTTGGGCGTTGCAGACTAACAAAGACTGGTCGGGTTGCCGTGTACTTTCCAACAAAGCCCAGGATCTATGCTTTGCAGAGGTATTGTCGCAAGAGGGCTCTGGACGTCCCTACCTCTTGATACCATAATGCTCTGCGTACTTGCCTGTGACGATTGTCTGTTATATCGGCTTTCTCTAACAAGAAATCAAAGACTTAACTATGTCCTCGAGCTAAGACGATTCTTTTCCCTCTCTCAGCAAAGACAAGACAAAGAGAACGCGTTGTGAATACACCACCAGACATAGTGGGCTCATCTGCTAGGGATTTCCTCGAGGACAGATTGATGTATAAATAAGTGGGGTTTGCTCCTCGTGAAAACGATTCATCTACCATCCCCCATCCTCAAATTCCCTCCCCAGCCTTCGACATCCACCAACCATCTTTCGACCATCCAGCCATGGCTTCTAAGAACACCAACGCACAATCTGGAGGCGGCCTTGCCCCACTATCCGACGCCAAATCCCAGCGCGGGTTCCAAGCGGCGCGTGAATTCGTGCGCGCGTGTGCAGGCCGCGACCCCCTGGATGAGGCGGTCTACGCATATTGTCGTATTTGGGAGACGCGCCGTCCGGATCTTGAGATGATAGCCAGTCTTGTGTATCACGACCACAAAGAAATCGCTCGACCTTTCAATGAGGAGCGCAGCGGGTTTGTGTCTCGCGCGATTTACCTCCCAGATTGTGGGTTGGCTCGCTTGCTTCTAGAAGCCGGCATACCTATGCCGTCCTCATCTGATCCACTGAGTAAAATGTTCGAGCGGCAGCCGTTGGCAAAGCAAGAGGAATTTGCGGCGCTGCTGCTCTCCTACGGGGCGAAGTGCAAGCACCCGGACACCTCCTCCTTCCGACCCTTGTGTCTCCTGGGCAACGAACGATTGGTTCGGCAAGCCTTGACGGACAATCCGGACTTCTTGCTGCGCGCCTCCTCATTCGAACCGGGGGCGTCTGTGGAACAGCTCGAGCCGCTCCGATACTATGCGCGCGATTCAACGGTTCCGACTCCGGCGGCGCTGCATAATTCCCACCGCCTGCAGCGGATCATGGACTGCGTGCCGGCTCCGCTGGGGATCATTAATGCGTTCTTGGATCTGAATCCCCCCTTGGATTGGGGCCTGTCGTTTGTCACGACCCTGGCGGCGGGGAAGCCTGAGGTAGCTTTGGCGATGGTCGCGAGGGAGGAGCAGTTCTTTTCGCGGCACGGCCACCTCGCGGACCAGCTGAAAGCGGCCGCCGACTTTGGCTACCCTAGCGTCATTCGGGCCATTTTCAATTGGAATGACCATGCGAAGTATAAAGAGGGATTGCTAGAGATGTGGATGGATAAGGCACAGCTTGCCGATTGGAAGCGTGATCGCCTGTATCAGCCCGCGGGGCTTCGGGTATCTGGTGTTCTATCACCGCTCCAGGATCGCTCTTATCGCTTGGTTCTGCAGAGTAGTGATACTTCTTCTCCTTCTGGCGCACTGAGTAAGCCACTTGTGTTTTATTTGGATCACCATCGTACCTCCGTAACGGCAATGGGAGACCACGAGCTCTGGGACGCGGTATATGGCAAGGTAGACTGTTACAAACAAGGGCGATAATAGCAGACTAAAGTCGCTTGTGCAGGTCTCTCTAGTCGACTTGGCGGGAAGAATTTCTATGTTAGCGCACCGAGCTCCAGTGAGGGTAGAATAGTGTTTTTTTCTTTCTTTTTTTTTCTTTTTTGTTTCTCGAAGAAAAAAATGTGAGTGATGATGGTGAACAAAGGATTACTGCGTACCATTGTGGAGCAACTCATGATTTTAATCAAGAAGTCAGGTGAATGATGCTTGTATTGTAGCACTCGCCTCCACCCTCATTTCCGAGATGTATTCACATGATAAGTTAGAGAGTAATTATCGATCTTCAGGTGAGAAAGACCGGTAGAGCGGCCACCTGAGTACCACGTGACCGTTCGCTTCACCGCTATGGTCGGCAGAACGCCCGCTGGTACTATGTAGGTTTGGGCGGTGGCAGAAACAATCCCGTAACTTATCGGTCGCGTACTCTATAGCAATGATTTGAAACGTTCTTCAAAACACAACAAATCTACCCCTCTTGTCAATTTCAGTCAGATACGTGTTGGAGCACCATTTTCTGCTGTCTGGACTCCTCTCTATGTCATTGAAACGTCAAATTTAAAATGCTTATCATGAAAATCAACGTTTGGTGTCGAAAACTAGACGTAGCGACCGGTGACTCCAACATCGTCTTTCTCCAACTCTCTCTCCGACTCCAAATCTGCCACCTTTTCGCTATCGCTCGCATCGGCTTTCCAGGCTACAGTTCGGTTAGTCACACTCTGCAGCCCTAAGAGCAAATGACTCACTGGCAAATTTTCGTGTCGGAATGCGGCGTCGCCACATCTCTTCCAGCTCCTCCAATGAATGACCCTTCAACTCGGGCAGGAAGAAGTACCCCAAGATCACCCCGACCGCTGAAAGGCCGCCATAGATAAAGCCAACCTTAGACTGCAGGTCCGCATACGGCGCGTTCAGCAGATACGGCAGGGAATACGAGACAGCAAAATCGCACACAACGCGGATGGTCCACGCCACGAACGAAGTCTGATCGCGAAGGCGCAGGTGTGGGGTCTCGGCTCCTACGATGACGGCGCTATCGCACGAGTCAGTGTGGTGTTTGGGAAGAGAGGCACGGAGATACTGTACATTGAACCAAAGGACATGATGTAGAACAGGCCGTACATCATAAGCACACCGCAGACACCTCGCTTCTTGTCGTCGGTGATCGTCCCGGTGCCCAAGCCACCGCAGGCGAACAGCAATGCAGTTGTCATGACCCCTCCGATCAGGTAGATCGGCCGACGGCCGGTGGTGTCTACGAGGGAGAAGGTGATTAGGGGGCCGATACAGGTCAGTGCACGGGAGATCATGGCGAAGGCAAATGGATTCATGACATGCAGCGACTTCACGAAGAGAGTGCCGTATTGGCTCACGAAGCTCTGCCCGGTCACTTGATTGAAGATGGCAGTCATGACTGCAATCATGGTGCGCCTCTGTGTGTTCTGTCAGTAGGTATGTGTCTCAAGGTGTTGACCTGTCTCACCAGATTGGTTCCCTGAAGCAACTCCAGCCAGGTGCCCTTCGTCTCGGCGTCTACCTCGATCGATGCTTGCAGCACCGCCACCTCATGACCCACGTCCACTTCCTGATCCTTGTATAAGTCCTGAAGCTGCTTAGTGGCGGCCTCGACCTTGTTCTTCCGTACCAGCCAGCGAGGACTCTCTGGGACAAACCACGAACAAAGTAGAATGAAGCACGGGAACGTCCACATCACGCCGATTGGGATCTTCCACGAGGCATTGCCCTCCATCTTGGCCGTTTCATAGGTAATAATTGAACAAATGAACGAGCCGAAGATATGAGCAAACACATACACCACCACCGTAGCTCCGCGGATGGCGGCGGGACTGATTTCCGCCAGAAACATGGGTACCAGCCAGCTCTCCCATCCAATGAAGCACTGCACTACCATTCGACCGGCCAAGATCTGCCCAAAGGATGTGGCAGTATAGCTGATCGCAATTCCCATAATGCATAAGAATTGCATGCTGATAAAACAGAGCCGGCGGCCGAAGTACTCGCCCACAAACCAGCCCAGCCCGGTCCCAAAGGCTTTCGCGGGCGAACCAAGCGAGTTGAGATAGGCGAGATGCTTTGTGGTATAGCCGTATTCGCCTGTTGCAGAGTTGTACGATCCGAACTGCTTTTCAAAGGCTAATTGAGGTTAGCTGGCAAATTGCCGATATCAGGCTCAAGCTCCCCTACCGTCCATGGTTTGAATGGTTGAGTATACCGAATCGTCAAACCCATAACTAAAAACACTCAAGCCAATGAGCATATATGCTACCAGCATGTTCCTGGTCACCAGACCGGACCTGAGCTTGAAGCTCCCAAAGGCTGACATCGTGTGGTTGAGGAGAGGTCAATCCCAGCTCACAGTGATCTGGCATATACTCATCAGGATGATTCCTATCGCGGGTCATCCATCTTTAATAGCTTTGAGGATATATTCGTCACCGTGAGCCGCGATGTTGCGATAGTTGTCCCAGATTTCGTGGGAGGAAGATGTTCACGGTTGATGGCCGCCCATGAAGCCAAGATGCAACTAAAAAAAACACTAAGCGACCGAGAGCCGTAGCGCGACCGACAGCCGTGGTTCTGCGACCGCTTATTGGGATGCAGATGAAGCCATCGTTTTAAGTGATGGCAACATCGCCACTAAACCCCCGCCCCTCCCGCACGATCCCAGTGGAGATGAGATGCTAGTGACGGTCATCATACATAACAGTCCGCGCCTGCACTGATAGCGTGCGATAAGCCAGATGCTTCCGACTTCAACCATCATGCCATCTACAAAGCGCCCGAATTTTCTGATCATTGTTGCTGATGACCTCGGGTTTAGCGACACCTCCCCATTCGGAGGGGAGATTCACACGCCCAACCTCCATCAGCTGGCGCAGGAAGGTCTGCGGATGACCGACTTTCACACCGCAGCGTCATGCTCGCCAACTCGCGCGATGCTTCTCTCAGGCACCGACGCTCACATCGCCGGACTCGGGGTCATGGCTGAGCGACGGAACCGGTTTCCTCATATCTTCGATGGGAAGACAGGCTACGAGGGCTACCTGAATTACAAGGTGGCCGCATTGCCTGAGATATTGCAGGATAACGGATACTTTACATGCATGTCCGGGAAATGGTGCGTATGCGACCGTGTGACCGAGATTCAGTAATGTGGAGGTTAAATTCTGACCCGTAAACCGATGGCGATACAATCGCAGGCATCTTGGTCTCACTAAGGATGTGGCGCCTTGCTCTCGAGGTTTCACCAAAGTCTTTGCCACCTTGCCTGGCGCAGGCAATCACTTCAACCACGAACCGCAACTCTACGACACAACAGAGAAACCGCGGGTCATCTTCAGGGACAAGGAGGGACTGTGGATGCGCGACGATACGTTCATTAACGGCGCAACGGATTTACCCGAAGACTTTTATTCCTCAAACACCTTCACTGATAATCTCTTGTCGATCCTGGGAAATCGGACAGAGATGCAGAGAGAGCAGCCGTTCTTCTCTTATCTCGCCTTCACAGCGCCGCATTGGCCGTTGCAGGCGCCGCAAGACACAATCCGGAAGTACAAGGGCTGGTACGACGACGGGCCACTTGCTCTGCGAAGGCGTCGATTGAAGAGCCTGATTAAAAAAGATCTGGTACCAGAGGGGGTCGATCCGGCTCCAATCATCACGCTGGGGACTACCCCCTGGGACGAACTCACTGACGCAGAGCGGCGGATGTCAAGTCGGACGATGGAGATTTACGCCGCCATGGTCGATGTCATGGATGAAAACATTGGGCGGGTGCGGCAGTACCTAGAGTCGACCGGGGAGTGGGACGAGACCTTCCTGGTTTTCATGTCCGACAATGGGGCCGAGGGACAGCTGCTGGAGGCTATTCCGGTCATGGCCGGGAAGACAGTGGGGGATGTGATTGAAAAGTACTATGATAACTCTTTGGAGAACCTGGGCAACCACGATTCATTTGTATGGTATGGACCGCAGTGGGCGTCGGCGGCCACAGCACCGTGCAGAGCCACTAAGTCTTTCACCACAGAGGGTGGCATTCGCTGCCCGTGCATCGTGCGGTATCCGTCGATGATGAATATGAAGCCGGGGGCTATCACGGACACGTTTACCACAGTTATGGATGTGCTTCCGACCGTGCTGGATCTTGCGGGATTGCACCACCCAGGGACAAATTTCCGGGGAAGAGAGGTAGCCCTCCCAAGAGGACATTCCTGGCGCCCGCTCTTGGAGTCAGATGATGGGAGGGTTGATCTGTACGACTCCGACGTCGTGGGATGGGAACAGCTGGGCATAGCCGCTGTCCGTGTCGGCCACTGGAAAGCCGTCTTTCTCCCTCCACCACGCGGAGAGGGCAAGTGGGAGCTGTACGATCTGTCCACTGATCTGGGTGAAGTGCACGATCTGGCGGACAGCCATCCGGAAAAACTGGGGGAGATGATTGCCCATTATGAAGCGTACTTTCAGGATTCTGGGATGTTTGACGCGTATTCTTTGTTCCAGGAAGAACTAAAGAAAAACGGCTCCAAGAGGAATTGGTGATGTTCGGTGGACATCATCTAAGGGTGAAATACGAGTAGAATGCACGCCTAGTATCTGTCGATCGGATAACGATCCCTTCCAGCGTTTGGCCTCTGTTCCTATCAGATGTCTCCACATTCTCCACATTAACTATAGTCTACTCCGTACAAGTACAGTACATGCCGCACTGACGCCTTTTTGGCTCTCGGTTGCGCCATCGCCTCCACCAATCCGCAAAAGAACCCCAAGTACTCCGCATCTGAGGTGGATTGGTGCTCTTGAGAGCACCTACGAGGCGCGATGTGACTGACTCTCTTTCCATACTCATGGCGACCTCTTTGAATCGACCGCGCTCGGATCCGTGCTTCCAGTGTCGGTCACGTAAGGTAGGCAGCCCACGTGGATATCGTTGATAATGTCGTCATTTCCAAGCTAAGTCTGTATCTAGGTTCGATGTGATCGCAAATTCGACATCTGTAGCAACTGCGAGCGGTTGAAATATACATGTTCTTTCCAGAGATCAGCATCGCGTTCAGAAAACTCCCAGCGAAGGAATGAGGATGAGCCCGACCGTCGTCGAGCGGCACGAGCATGCCTACGATGTCGCGCGCAAAAGTCTCGTTGCTCTGGAGAAATGCCCCAATGTGACAATTGTCAAAGGCGACATCGTGACTGCCATTACCCGGGGTCAAAGCGAGCTGGCATCTTTTTGAGGAAGGGCACCGACCATGCTTCGAGCGCTGAGAGTCACGAGACATGGTACGTATGTCAGTCTATTATTGATTTGCGTCACTGGCTCATTCTTATTTGACTTCAGTACGTCTCCGCTTCAAAGCCAGCAAGAGTTGATCAAGTTTCTCGACCTCTACTTTCAGTACCTGTATCCCCTCCCAGGGTACAGCTTCCTACATGAGTCCTCAATCCGACGAATGTACTCGGAAAAGAGACTGGAGGAAAGCCTCGTGCTTGCGATCTGCGCCATTGTCAATCTGCGCTGTCCGTTCTCAGGGCGAGTCTCCTACGATAGCGCTTTTTGGATTGCACGGGCTGAAAGTCGCATCCTCAACCAGCTCGAGAGGCCATCGATCTTTCACTTGCAAGCTCTGTTTCTCATCATTCACTATCACGCCGAAGTAGGTGGTTTCGGGCGAGCGTTCATGCTGGCATCGCTCGCTAGTCGCCAAGTAACTGCTTTGCGTCTCAACCACGAAAGTCCCCATCTTGGCTTCGTGGCTCAAGAGACCCGCCGCAGAGCTGCGTGGACGATGGCTCTACTTGATGGGTACTTCTCGGTCGGTCTTCCGGGCTACAGTACTATCGATTATGGGGAGATCTACCAGCAGTTCCCTTGCCGCGAAGAAATGTTCGGCTCGCCAATACCGGAGTGCATGATCCGTCGTCCGTCTGGCCTCCCGACCGATCAATCCCCGACCTTGCACGGTACGCTCGAACTCATTTTGCGTCTGTCCAAAGTCCGTCGCGATATCATTCGCTTGACTCGCCAACTCGCCCTCGTGGAACAGCCCGTCGTTGATCTCGATGCCATTGCTCGAGGCTTTCAGACAAGCCTGTTGCAGATCGGCGCCCAAATCACCGCATCTTTTGGGACCCCTTCTCCAAGCCATGATAATCTCCAGTCCCAAACCCAGCTACCATCGCGGTGGCTGGGACGGGTCCTCGAAATCCGAGTCGCATGGCATCAAGCACATTGTGATCTGGCCCGAATATTCCTTGCCGGCCATCCCAGCGCTGCGTCTCTGGCGATTCTCGATTCCTTGAGCTCCAGCCCGTTTGTCCTTCAAGCCCGGGACAAATGCCACCAGCACAGCGCGTGCATTATTGACTTCATCTTGCACAATGAGGCTCTCATTCCTCCAACTTTCTTCTCTGTGGATATCGCCCGGTGTGTTTACCACGCGGCGCGTCTGTGTCTCCATCTGGCTGGGGATTCAGGGCAGAGAGGCTCAGAGGACTCATTGTCCTCGTCGCCGGGCACGGCGCTAGAGCAGGCATCCTTGGCTGGGGCCTTCTTACAGCGGAACTTTGGGCGGGCGGCGCATGCGAAGGGGATGATCTCGGATCTCAAGGTGTGGATCGAAGCGTGCAGTAGCCCCCAGTCTAAAGAGGCGCGAGAACCGAATCCGGATCGGCTGACTGGGTCGGATGGGTTTGAGCGCCATCATCAGCTAGCGGTGCATAGTCTCCTCCATCAGGCGGAGTTTGTGGATGATAGCTATCTGTATGATGGGTAGTTACAGCACTACAGTGCGATAGGATGAACATGGAATTGGTTCAGACTGAATGCAGTTGGCCAAGACTAAGACTAGCCTTGAGTAAGAAAAACGATGGCGGACGGTTCAGTAGCCTTCACTCTCGGGTGTACGACGAAATCAAGCTACTGAATGTCTAATCTCTGTGGTAGGAAATCTGGAACAGTAACCGCTGTCAATCTACGCCTGCTAAACCAGTCTCTCCAAACACTCAAAACGAGACGATATGGCCCATAAAAAGCCGACTAAACCTCCACTAAATAAATCCTGCCCTCATACGGCTGCAAAACATCCTCCCTCTCCTCCTTATAGTTCTTGACTAGCGTCTTCCTCGCTTTCCCATGAAACTGACCCTCCAACGCCACCGACTGCACCTCCCCGGTGAAATTCAATGCCACCACCAACTTTTGGCTCCGGCCCATCTTCTCAAAGACGAACACCGCCTCATTCTGCGGGTCTGTATCCCGAAACACGCCCCGCGCAAACACCTCTGGATGCTGCTTCCGGACGCGCACCAACGCCCGCCAGAAATTCAGCACCGACCCGTCCTCCAACGCCTGGCGCTTCACATTCACCGTGGGATAGTTGTCATGCACGCGCATCCACGGCGTGGCGCGGGGGTCCGTGAACCCGGCGTGCGGCAACGCATTCCACTGTATGGGCAGGCGCGCATGGTCTCGGGCCAGGTAATCCAGGGCCGCGCGGGCCCTGCGGAGGGCGCCGGGATCGTCATCATCACCCTCGCCCGCGGTCTCCCGCACGTAGCGGTAGTAGTTGAGGCTGTCGACGTCCTTGTACTCGGCCACGTCCCAGGCGGGCGGGGCGTTGACCATGCCGATCTCCTGGCCCTGGTACAGGAACAGGGTCCCGGAGAGGCTGGCGACCAGCATGGCGAGCATCTTGGCGCTTTCCGCCCAGTATCGATCCGCATCCCCCCACCGCGAGACGCTGCGCGCCTGGTCGTGGTTCTCGAGGAAGGCGGTGCTCCACCCGTCCGAGCTGCCGTCCATGAGCCTCTGCGTGGCGCCCACGCGCGCGCGCAGGTCGCTCAGCGTCCACGTGCGCGGCACCGTGTCGAACCGCTGGTCCGTGCCCATGTTGCTGTCCACCACGTCGAACTGGAACACCATGCTGAGCTGGTGCGCGGCCGCGCCGACGTACTGCAGGACGTCCGGGAGGTGCGGGGTGTTGGGCAGCTCGCCGACGGTGATGGCGTCGCCGGCCGGTCTGTGTCTCCGCAGGATGGCCGTCATCTCCGCCAGGAACTCGGGCATGCGCGGCCCGTTGCAGAAGAGGTCCGCCGCCGGCTGATAGCGATTGGCCGGGTCGCGCACCGGCGCGTCCGGGAAGTCCGCCGGCTTGCTGTACATGTTCACCGTGTCCACCCGGAACCCGTCGATGCCCCTCTGCAGCCAGAATTCCATGGCCGACGTGTACAGCGCCTGCCGCGTGGCCGCGTTCTCCCAGTTGAGGTCGGGCTGTTGCTCCGCGAACAGGTGCAGGTAGTATTCCTCGGTGGTGGGGTCGAAGGTCCACGCGCTGCCGCCGAAGAAGCTGCGCCAGTTGTTCGGGGGGCTGCGGGCGCCGTTGGCCGGGTCGTAGCGCGGCGGCCGCCAGATGTACCAGTCGCGTTTGGGGTCGGTGCGCGAGGAGCGTGAGGCCTGAAACCAGGCGTGCTCGTGCGAGGTGTGATTGATGACGAGATCCAGCAGGATGCGGAGCCCCCGCGCGTGGCACCCCGCGATCAGGGCCTCGACGTCCGCCACCGTGCCGTAGGGCGCGTACACGGCCTCGTAGTCGCGGATGTCGTAGCCCATGTCGTACTGCGGGCTGTCGTACATCGGACACACCCAGATGGCGTCCACCCCCAGCGACTGGATATAGTCCAGCTGGCTGAGGATGCCGGGGAGGTCGCCGATGCCATCACCGTTGGAGTCCTGGAAGCTGGCCGGGTAGATTTGGTAGATGGTGGCGTTTTTCCACCAGGGTGTGGGCGACATGTTTTCTCTGGGAAATTTCTGGGAAAAAGGAGTAGTGGGAGAGAGTTGGGGGATGAGTGAAATAAAAGGCACTAATGGTAGCTGACAGACGCAAGCAGCAGCAGCAGTAGCTCTCTTATCTATGCACTGTGCATCTGCATGGCTGATACAACACATCACTTTACAATCGATTGGCCTGCAATGTGGCCGAGATGGCATTTCCCCGCTCGCTCCACTTAGGGCTATTTCATTGGCAAGGTTGATGTCGGGCCGAGACGCGCTTAACACGGCTGCTGCTGTCTTCGCAACGGTTGGACCCCCTTTCCCCTTTCCTCTCCACGAGCCAGACCGGCCCAGCCAAGACCTACACAGTTGGTGGCATCAGCCCATTTCTTTGGGTCTGAATTGCTCAATGTCGTTGCGACGTCGTGGGGATTGGATGAGGTTATTGAGGTTTCCTCGGATTTGCCCTAGCCCACTGAACAAGAGAATCCGGGCAGACTGGATTTAATGTCGTTGATCAAATAAAGACGTGGAACAACCGTGCGGTTCATCACAGTTGTAATCGAGAATAATGCAGCTTTAATTCCTACTGCATCCTTCTCATCTATCACGACCTCGTCTCACCAACCCCATCCACAAAGATGACCACCACCACCTCACCCCCCGACGTAACCAACGCGGCCATCACTCGCGGCGGCTCTTGGGGGGGGGTTTCTCAGTTGGGCCTTTGGGAGCTTGTCTGAGCCTACGTGGGAAGGTTGCGGAGTTGGGGGTCTTGTTTGAACGGGCGGAGGATGGCGAGGGGTGGAGAGGGTTTAGGATGTTTTTGAAATAGGGGTAGACGGTGTCGGATAAGCGAGTGAATTTGTGTTGGTATTAATATTAGATTTGTACATGAATCTCTCCATCATCGTATGTGAATCTTGGATATACATGGGAAGCATTCATCTCGATGCGCTGAGAGAAGCATGTATTTTCATCTCTGCGATCCCTGGCGATGATTGGATTGGATCAAGCCACAGTTAGGGTCTGCTCGAGGACCACGCTAGAGTTGTTTATGTTTAGCGAGCCCTGGTGGGCGAAGTCATGCAGGTACGCTTACCGGGCAGCGCAGCCTTTTGCCTTCCTGTGTGTCTCGGACAGTATCCCTCATCCCGACTACAAATCTCTCTCCTCCCAGTGCACAAGACTATAAGCCTACTGGCTTAAGCCTTGAGCAATGCATAGCATACTATAAACAAGTAACTCCATCCCCTTGATCCCCGGATGCGTCTCCCGCAGCGCCTCAAACTTCAACGTCAGCAGCTCCAGCCGTAGGTTCTGCAAACCGGAAACCAGTACACAAACTCCTTCAAAGACAGGATAGCATCCACCCGTCACACGGTTTCCACGCTCGCCGCGTCTGACCTCATTTACAACAGCAAAGTAAGTGATAACTCATATTGTATTGGTATCTAAGTTCAACCTATAGCGCCCTGAGATGATAAATAATGAAAGGCGCCCCCAATAAAATACCTCAACCGTAGTAAAATGTGGTTGAGTAGTTCTCTCGTCTCCTGCTGTAAGAACAAATGGGGTCCTCAATTCCACCCTCTGAGATATTCCAGCACGAGTTATGATTGGAGAGTGTGAGTGAATACCAACTACCATTATGTATATCTATTCCTCAAAACAGAAAAACAACACCTTCTATAAACAACAGAAGCAACTTGAAGAGTCTCCAGTAGAAAACAACCACGAGCAACACAATACTTCAGTCCCGCAACCAAAAGCAACCAATCCTCTATATAACACAACCCACAACCCACACACCCAACCCCAATTCCCAATCAATCCCTCACAAACCCCTCCCACCTCGGCAACCCCTCCACCTCCAACCCGAACAGATCCAACACCCGCCCAACAATATGCTCGACGACGTCCGCCAACCCGGCCGGGCGCGTGTAGAACGCCGGCACCGGCGGGAACACGATCGCCCCGTGGCGCGTCACGCCCAACATATTCTCGAGGTGCACGCTGCTCAGCGGACACTCGCGGGTGACCAGCACGAGGCGGTGGCGCTCCTTGAGCATGACGTCGGCGGCGCGGGCGATCAGGTCCTCGCCGTACCCGACGTTGATGGCGGCGAGGGTCTTCATGCTGCAGGGGACGACGATCATGCCGTCGACGCGGAAGGAGCCGCTGGCGATGGGCGCGGCCAGGTCGTGGTTGCTGTAGGCGAAGTCGGCGAGCGCGCGCACGTTGGCCACCGTGTAGTCCGTCTCGTACTTCAGGGTGTTCTCGGCCCATTTGCTGAGGATCAGGTGCGTTTCGACGTTGAGGGCCCGCAGGGCCAGGAGGGCGTGGATGCCCAGGATGGTGCCGGTCGCGCCGGTGAGGGCGATGATGATGCGTTTGCGGCGGGTTGCTAAGGTGGTTGTGGGTGGGATGGTGGATGTGGACATTTTGGTGTGTGAGGGGTGAGGCAGACGATGATGACAGGCTTTGGGTTGGGAGGCTTAGAACGTGGACGAGGAATGTCTGGAGCGACTCGGCAGTTTGCCGGGTTTATGTACTGATCACCTCAGTATTCAGAGGTGGTCTTCCTTCTCCTGAACGTGATGCAATCGACGTTTCCATTACTCAAGGCCAGCAGTGGTCTCGGGAGTCGGCAGCAGATTGCGGGGTTAAGGAGGGGCACACCTTAACTCGATCCAGTAGTTTCGCAGCAACTGGTGCTATATTAAACATATTAATCCCTCTTGGCGCGTATAGCTTGACTTCAGCACACGATTTAACAATTGAGATTGGTCGAATTAGGGCTGATGAGTCAGCGGAGAGCGGGGCTCGGGCCGCTCGGCCTTACCCCGCTATCCCCGGCTGGGAGATATGTTCCGTCCGCTGCCATGGCCTGAGGTATCTACTCCAGACACCTCACGCCGACTTAGCCCTATAAAAGGGACACAAATCTTTCATATCCAACTCTCTCACAGCACTCATCTAACTCACCTTCTCATAGACTCGCCTACATCCTCCAAAATGGCCGAAACAACCCCCCAAGAATCCACCCAACCCGCCTGCGCCAGCTTCCGGCGCTTCATCCAAGACCTCCAAGCCGAGAACGACCTGGTCGCCATCGACGAAGAAGTCGACCCGGACCTGGAGCTGGCAGCCATCACACGTAAGGTCTATGAGACCGAAGACAAAGCGCCGCTGTTCAACAGCCTCAAGGGCCGCCACCCGAACGGCCTCTTCCGCGTGCTGGGCGCCCCCGTCGGCGCCAGCAAGCAGCCGGGCAAGCGGTTCATCCGCATCGCCAAGTCGCTGGGACTCCCGTCTACCGCCACCGGACAGGAGATCATCCACAAGTTCCGGGCCGCCAAGCACCTGCCTCAGATCCCGCCGACGGAGGTCGCCACGGGCCCCGCCAAGGAGTTCAAGCTGTTGGGCGATGAGATCGACCTCACCGCCCTGCCCATCCCCACGCTGCACGCCGACGACGGCGGCAAGTTCCTGCAGACGTTCGGGATGTACATCGTGCAGAGCCCCGACGGGGCGTGGGTGAACTGGTCGATCACGCGCAGCATGCTGCATGGGAAGCGCACGCTGGTGGGGCCGATGATCCCGCGGCAGGACATCGGGGTGATCCGGCAGATGTGGGCCGAGCTGGGCAAGGACTGCCCCTTCGCGCTGTGCTTCGGGGTGCCGCCCGCGGCGATCATGGTGAGCGGGATGCCGCTGCCGAAGGGGGTCAACGAGAGCGAGTACATCGGGGCGTTGATCGGCGGGCCCGTCGAGGTGACCCGGGCCGAAACGAACCACATCCTGGTGCCGGCGAACGCGGAGATCGTCTTCGAGGGAGTCATCTCGCGCACCGAGACCGCGCCCGAGGGTCCCATGGCCGAGTACCCGGGCTTGATCTTCCCGGGGGAGCAGAAGGAGTGTCCGCTGCACCGGATCGACGCCATCACCTACCGCCGCGACCCGATCCTGCCCATCTGCGTGACGGGCCGCGCGCCCGAGGAGAGCGAGACGGTCTGGGGGCTGACGCAGGCGGCCGAGGTGCTGACCCTCTGCCAGCAGGCCGGCCTGCCCATCACGATGGTCTGGAACCCGTTCGAGTCGCACTGCCTCTGGTTCGTGCTGCAGGTCGACCGCGCGCAGCTGCGCGCCCGCCGCACCACCATGGAGGCCTTCAGCCGCGAGGTCGGCCACACCGTCTTCGCCTCCAAGCCCGGCTACTACATCCCCATCGTCTACCTCGTCGGCGACGACATCGACCCCACCAACCTGCGCGACGTCATCTGGGCCAACGCCACCCGCTGCCAGCCCCGCGACAACGAGTACTTCTTCGACCAGTACCCCAACATCGGGCTGATCCCGTACGTGTCGCATGGGGCCAAGACCGGGGCGAATCATGTGAAGGTCGTGCGCTGCTGCATGTTCGCCAGTGAGTTCTCCGAGGTGCCCACGTATAAGGAGGCCTCTTACCGGGGGAACTATCCTCGGGAAATTCAGGATAAGGTGGATGCCAAGTGGTCGACTTATGGGTTTTAGTGGTGCGAAGTGGTGCGGCTGGCATCGTGTTCTGGTTCTCGCGAGTAGATTGAGGAATTGGTTTGGATCTATACAGATTGTGTACTTTAGCTGAACAGCACTCATACATGCTTTACATACAACACACATACTCCCCCCTCATATCAACCTGCTCATTTCTTATTTGCACAGAAGAGGCAAAGAAAGAAGAAGAAAAGAAGAAAATACAAGGTTAGAAAAGGAAGGAAATGAAGGAAAGGGTATATGAGAAATAGAAATGGCGCAAGTGACCTATGCAAGCCCGTAAGGACCCCGACGGGATATACAACGCTGTATCCTGGTCCTATCCGAGGTAAATGTAGCGAAATGCCAGTGAATTATGCATGGAAGACGTGGCAAGAGACACACCCGGCTTGATCAGCCTCCGACCATTTCCCCAAAGCTCCCAAATAGTACATAACACAATTTACGTCTCACAAACCATCCAACCAAAGTTGTATCATCTACCTCCGCCCGAATCTCATAAAGAAATAAAACCAGTCTCTCCGCCAGCAAAACCCCACCATCTACAGCAACAACGTTCCGACGCCCACGCCAGACCACCCCCGACGACCTCTCCCTGCGCCTGAGCAAGATCCTCAACCGATCATCGTGATTCCCTGGAGCCCACTCGCGATGTGGTATCTGGGCGTTCCCTCGGAGTTGGGGTACGTAAGCCCATCCCCACCATCCCCCGTCGTTACAACAATATAAACACCAATCCATCCGAACCCCCCACTGCTCTCATTTCTGGCAATCTGTGATTAGGCCCCCATGATCGTAGTCCAAGACGCCGACTACCCCACCGCGCAATCCCACCTAGCGAAGGCCGGATTTCAACGCAGCGTGCCCCCACCGCAACCCCCACCCCGCCATCATAGCGTGCCATTCCAACCCCCGGGAGATGCTGGCCGAGATCAACGCCGGCTACCACCGCGTGGATCGCTCGTGCGCCGTGTTCGGTTTTCTGGGCGACGATCCCAACAAAAAGGACATGCAGCTGTATCTGTTTCCCAACTCGTTCGCGCATGTTTTTTGATTGTTGGCACTGGCAAAATGCTCCCCGAAATGAGTCAGGTGCAACGGTAACAGCAGCAGCAGCAGCAGCAGCACAGCGATACGAGAGCTACGGTAATCTGCACTGCGCGCTGGAGCGAGCCCTGGTGGAGAGATTTGTCCGGGCGGCGGTTGAGGAGGAATCCGCCACGGGCCTTTCGGCGTGGGGGGAGTCCCTGTGGTCCAAAGTGGCGATGATGCATGGGTGGGTATTTGGAGGTGGATAATGATTGTGCTGGATGACTGGGCTGATGAGCAGGTTGTGGACTGGTATAGTCGGGATTTTGGCCGGATTCGGGAGGCCAGGTTTGGGCCGATTGATCGTTGGATTTCGAAGCGCTTGGGGTCGGGGAGGGAGATGCCGGTTGATATGCGGGGGAACCCGGTTTAGTACTGTACTGGTTCTGTGTCAGTCATGTGTATATACTGCACAGACGGGCTGCACGGTACAAGTACATTGTGTATAGCTTTAAGTGCAGAAGTAAGTGAAAGTTATACTGCTATCACTTCCATCCACCCCCACTCCAATTCAAGAATGCATCCAGATCCCCCAGCCCCTCCAACTCCCCTCCCTCAGCAACCCCAACCCCCATCTCCCCACCATACACCTCCATCCTCCCTTGATCTCGCGTCTTAACAAACACAGCAGCAACATCATACAAGGCCCGAAAAACCCGGCCATACTTCCGACACCGCGTGTACCGGGTCATCCGCTCCATCCGACGGGCCTGGCTGATGAGTGAAGCCCGGGTGATGAATGACCACGCGGTGACGGGTTTGCCGTGCTGGAGACAGTGAATTGTCTGTTTTATCGCGAAAGTGGGTAATTCAGCAACTTGCAACAAGAGCCGTGGATAAGGATACAGAACAAACATACAGCCATGTACATAGCACACACAGCGTCCAAGCTCGTGGCTACATGAAAGGACAGACTACCAAGGAGTGTTTCCAGACTCTGTCGGCAGATGAGGGCCTGGACCTCGTAATCCTGCTTGAGCAGGGGGTCGCCTCCCGTGAGGTTCGCGCATTCGGTGAACAGCCAGGCAAGCACGTAGTGCACAATGATCAGCTCCATCTCCGTGATCGGGCCCGGCGAGCACACTCGGGTCACGTAGTGGGTGAAGTCGCCCAGGGATCCGAACTCGAAGGGCCAATAGAGCTGGCTGGGCGAACACTCTTTGACAATCCGGTTAGTCTTGAAACAGTTGCCGCTGAGAAGGGAGGGGGGCCGGGGAGGATGAAATACACACACCGTAAGCGAGTCTCAAGCATGCCATGATCCGGTCTAGGGAGGGGATCGGCAGGTCTTTGAAGTCTGAGGTCAAGCTTTGGGGAAGCACCTTAGCAAATGGCTGCGAGGATTCCAGGGTTTGATTCTGTTGCTTCTGTGCAGCTATCGTGCTCCATAGGCTATTCAGCGCGGCAGTCAATTCGGGGACATTGCTAGGAGGGAGGTGGGGGTCCATCACTGCCGCTTGGGGGCATTTGGCAGTGAAGATCACATGGGCGAAAAGGGTGGATTCGATTCCTTCCGCGAGTGTAGGAGCAGAGAAATATGACTGACTGGGTTGGTGTAGTGAGGGCTGCAATGGCAAACGCAATCCTACAAGGGTTGGATGGCTGGAGTGCTCATGGCTCAGTCGACCAACGACCTCTGCGAGGTGATCAAGCTTGTTCGTGATGTACTCCAGTCTCCGCTCGCTGTTGTCCGTCAACGACCAAAGTCTTTTGAGAGAACCAGGAACTTACTAGACACTCGAAATCAGAACGCGTTGCCGCTTCTCTTATCGCACTTGGTCTGCCAGCAAGCACTTAGTGCTTAAATCTAAGGTGCGAGTTTCTTTCAGAATTGTCACCTTCCGCTGACGACATCGATCACACTAGGAAAGTGTTGGAAAGGGTTAGCATCCAGCCCTGCACTACCCGGTAGAGAGACCTGAAAACCATACAGCCACCTTCTCCACCGCGGGGCGACCCTCCTCGAGATCTTCGTCTCTTGCCCTCTTGCTACTCCCAGTGGCGCCAGACATGAGTAATCGAGCACGAGGTGCACCAGTCAGCGCCCATCAACACACAAAAAAAGAAGCGGCCAATGTGTGTCAGAGAGAAGTTGAGCCGGGGACAGCCGAGCCCGAGGCGGAGAGAGATTTCACGGAGATCGGAACGCCAAGGCTGCGCGGTCCGGGCCTCAACCCTATACAGAGTATACTAGAGGGCGTGTATATATTCCCTTGAAGCACACGCAAACCACCTCAAACCTGTACGTACACTTCTCCTACTCTCCAAAAAAATCCCATTCCCATTGCCATCACTTCCCCCTCCAAGCCTCCCCCGAATCACCCCCATCACCAAAATGCCCCACCCCGGCATCGTCTACGACGTAGGCCTCAACTTCACCAACACCACCCCAAGAACCCTCTCCATCCTCACCTTCAACCCCACCCACGTCGCCCACGACATGCACACCATCGCCGAAACTCTACACGCCACTGCCGTCCGCCTAGAAGGCGAGCCCCTCGACCGCCTCGCCACCGCTGCCCGCCTCGCCCACGCCGCAGGGCTAACCGTCTACATCAACCCGTGGAAGATGCACGCCGACGTCACCGAAACGGGCAGGTACCTCAGTGCCGCCGCCAAGGTCGCCGAGCAGCTCCGCGTGCACGACGGACTGACCGACCTCGTCTTCGTGGCGGGGTGCGAGTACAGTATCTTCAGCCGCGGGGTGTTTCCGGGGGAGACGTTCGAGGAGCGGGCGGGATGGTTTGGGGGGCAGTTGGCTGCTGCTGCTGCTGCTGCTGCTACAGCCGTTGGTCGGGGAGATGATGATGCTAGTGCGACCAGCGATACTACTACCAACAGTGGCCCCCCAATCCCACCCCCTATCCTCGCCAAATCCCCGCTCCTGAACGCGGCGCTCCGCACCCTCGTGACCGAAATCCGCACCCACTTCCACGGCCCCGTCACCTACGCCGCGGGCATCTGGGAGGCCGTGGACTGGGACCTGTTTGATCTCGTCGGGGTGGACTACTACCGGCGGGGCGAGACGGCCTCGGAATATCTCGCGGGGCTGGAGCAGCACCGCGTGATTGACTCTAACCCTAACAGCAACAACAACAACAACAACAACAAGCAGAGACACAAACCCCTCGTGGTGATGGAGGTCGGATGCTGTGCGTACGAGGGCGCGGCCGTCCGCGGCGATGGTGGCTTCGTCTTGCTCAAGGGCCGGAATCCCGATGGGAGTGGGGTGTTTGAGGGGGATATCGTCCCGACGCGGAGCGAGCGCGAGCAGGCCGATTACCTCGAGTCGCAGTTGGGGCTGCTGGCCAGGGCCGAGGCGCAGGTGGACGCCGTCTTCGTCTATGTGTTTGCGTTTCCCTGTATGCCGGCCGGGGTCGGGGCGAGGGACTTCGATATGATGTGTTTCTCGTTGGTGAAGTACCTTCCGGAGGTGGAGAAGGGGGACCAGGAGGAGAATCGGGTCGGAATGCCTCAATGGGTGCCGAAGGAGGCCTTTTTTCGCGTTGCGGAATGCTTCCGGGCGATGCGCGAGAAGTCGCAGCTAGGAGGCTAAGTTAACTATCTGGTCACAAAACATTACAACATGACAATCACGATGAAAGTGCCCTACGAAAGAGATAGCTCAACCAAGTCAGATCACCAACAGATAGAATTAAGGATTATAACATGATAATAATACAGCGAGATAAGTCGTCGGGATCATAAATCACAGCCCCTGCCAGGTCCACCGGCGGGCTTGTACTTTCTCTCTAGGCCGTTCCTCCAAATACCCCTCCTCCACCATTCAACAACAAAAGTCCTGAAGCTATGGACGGTGTACAGGCAACTCGCTCGCACTACCACTTCGTCGGGCCAAAGGTCCCGTTGGTCAGAACCGTCTGGATCGCCGTGCCCATCGTGTCCATGGTACCACTGGCAATGCGGGTGCCCCACCAGTCAGGGAAGCTCGCGCCGGTGAGGTCGATTGTCAAAAAGATCAGGATCGTGCAGAGGTCCAATCCGACATCCAACCCGGCGGACAAGATGTAGTTGTAGTGCATCCACCAGCCGCGGAACTTGTCGCGGATGTACTTGTTGAAGATCATACCCACAATACCCCAGGTGAGATAGTTGAGCGGGGTGGCCGGGGGGATAAGGCCAGCGCCACCGAAAATCAGGGGAGCGCTGAGGTACCGGATTTTGGACTTGGGCCACATCCGAGCGGCGAGGTAGACGGCCACGGGCAGCAAGGCACCCGCCAGCCAGAACCATTGCAGGTTAACATACATCTGACCCGGGGAGAACATCCGCTGGGGGCCAATAAGACCCCAGATGACCGAGGCGTTGAAGAACACACGGCCGTTGGGGCAGGTGTAGTGGTTGGGCTGATCCAAGCTGCAAACGTCCTTGATGGTCGCGAGACCCCAGTTCATGACGGCGATCTGGACGATAGAGGACCACAAGGCGGCAACCATCTGTCCGGAGAAGGAGACACGGGGAGGGATTTTCATGTAGTGACCTGGTCAAACGATTAGTCGGCGCGCTTCTTCTCGTGATTGGTGAACAGAAGCATTGCACATACCTAGTTTCATGTCCTGGTTGAAATACAGCCCCTGGTACATACTCATGTACCCGTAGGTCTTGAACAGCATCATGGCCATGGGCTTGCCCGGCTGGATATAGCCGACAATGAACTCGGTCAAGACGTTCAAGCCGAGGGCAATGTTGGTGGACGCCTGGATGATACCGATGGGCACGTACCAGATCACGGCAATGATCAAGGCCACGAAGAAGGCCCACCAGTCCAAATGGGTGGGATAACCGAGCACGAGACCAAGGCCGATGGCAATCATAGCCACCACCACCCCACCGTACCACCAAAGCGGAACCGGCTTGAAGCGAGCCATCAGGCGACCGTGGACATCCTCCTCCTCCTTACCGAAGTTGCGGAAGCGCACCCAGAGCTCACTGCCGTGGAAGAGACCGGTGTTGACGAGCAGAGCAATGATAGTAGCAAAAGAGAGACCATAGCACAGGGCGAAGGTCGTGGACAGGAACAGCGGGGAGTATTCCTCGTAAGCCTTCAGGTCCAGGGTGAACTCCGACGTCATGATGCGAGAGACGTTGTACGTAGTGGCCGTGTTGTCGTAACTGCTGGAGTCGCTGATGGGCAGGAATTCGGCGAACCATGTCCCACTGTAATGGATACCAGCGGTCACGATCCAGAAGAAGATCACCATGCCGATGAGAGTGTTGGCGATCGCATGCCAGGGAGCAATAAGGGGGCTGAAGTTGAAACCCGAAACTTGCGTCCAGTCAAACGTCATGGGAATCAGCGACAGCCCAGTCTCGCCGCCAAAGAGCTGGTTCACAACCGGGCTCTGGGGCTTGATCCAGGTGACCCAGGCAAAGTAACTCAGGAACGGCGCAATGAGACCAGGGAAGAAGTACCAGCAAAAGGACCCGATCATCACGTAGAGGAAGAAGCGGTACTTGCCGATTGTCCACCCATTGACCTTGGACGGGTCTGGCTTGCGGGTGTCGTGAAGCGCGGTGAACAGGGCGCAGTTGATCAGGTTGGAGGGCCAGATCATGGCTGCGGGAGCCACCAAGAACCGATGGAAGAATCCCGCCAGACCGAATCCGAGCATCTGGGTCGAGATACACATGAGGATCTCGAACCCCCATCCGAAGGACTGCTTATAGAAAGCGCGCTGAGCCAACAAAACGTCGGTTGCGTAGGCGGCACCACCACCGAAAGTCGCGTTGGCCATGATAACAATGAGGGCGTGCTCCTTCTTGCTAAAGGGGCCCGGGTTAAGGTTGAATTGACGGCCAAATAGACTGAGCTGCTTGTTCGGCATGAACTTGGCCCAGGCCACACCCACTGGGTAGGCAACGACTTGGGCGACATAGGAGGGAATGACAATGTAAGGGTTGCGCATGGAGAACAGCATGTTCAGGGCCGAACCGATGGTGGCGAAGATCATACCGATGGTCCACGCGCGGATGGTGTTGGTGTGGCCACCCTCGTCGTAGTTGGGCACAGCGGCGCGTACTTCGGGGTAGGGCGAGTCGTCCAGCAGCTCATGGGCCATGCCCTCGCGCGCCCCCTTGTCGGTCGTGTGGAGGGCTTCATCAATCTCGTCGGCGATTTCATCGGGCAGGTTGGGATCCCACTGATGCTGTAACTTCAGGTTTTTGAGGTGCATGGCAGTCTCCTCCGGGGCTGCCTCATCAGCCACCGCGGTGGAGTAGGCCACTTCCTTCTCCTGCATCGTGGTGGTTTCAAAGCCACAGAGCAAGGGTGAAGGGTGAAAAGAGGAGCTAAAGACTGAGAGATGAGACACTCAGTAAGAACAAGTAGACAGGTGAGGTTGATCTGGAGAAGAGAATCAAGAAAGAGGAACGACGAACAGGCGGAGGAAGGCAGGTACATATACAGCCCATACGACCTTCCAATCCTGGCTAGCCACCATGCGATATGCAGTGAAGGCCGACGGTAGCCCGGTGATTTTATCGATGGCGAAAATCGAAAATTAGATTAAATCGCTGATAGGAACGGCCAGTGAATGTGGTCGAGGCTATCTTGCGGCTATCAGCCAGCCGCCTTAGTGGTACCCCGGTTCGTTTGCCATGTGCTAGTGTTACCTGGTACGTATTCATTTAAGTTACCACTTAGTTACCACTAACACACTGGCCAGGCATCTCCCAATGCATGGAGATTACTGGCTACTGGCTAGCGAAAACCGGGGGAGACTAAAGTAGACTTGAACATGGTCAGGCCATGCGTAAGGCGTGTGCCACCTGCACGGCCCTTCCCATCCCGCCCTTCCATATCAGCTTCGCTTGCAGCGTCCGCGTCACTGCGCCCTTCGAACCAGAAAACAGACCGGGGAACAGTAGCAGTGACAGTGACTCACTGGCCGAACCAGAGAAGGGTGGTTTTACGTAGTCACGGGGACAATTTCAGTGGGAATCCCACTGCCAAGAGTGGGGAGTTGAGGTTGCTAGAGACTGAAGTTGACTAGGGGGAAGACGGGGAGGGAGGCTATCATGGAGGCCGCCAAATGCATTGACCCGGGGGCCGAGGTTCTAGCGGATATCACTCTAAATTCAGCCCAAATGCAATCACCAGATAAACCGTATTATCAATTGGGTTCCGATCTGTGGGTGGGAAGGAGGGGAGGCCGGCGGAATCGGAGAGCTGTATTGATTGGATAAACAACGTAGGTTCGCCTTCGGTGGCAAGATGGCTTTCAAGAAGAACTGAAAGGGGGGGTGGGTAACAGAGAGCTACTCCCCGCGTGCATGAATGGTCAAGATGTAACGCTGCAGCGGACGCTGATAAGTGCAGTTTTTCCCCAGGTCAGCCAGACATTGTGGACGGGCGCACTATCCCCCTTTTTGATTCAGGCTTGTTCACGATAAGCTAGCGAGGCGCTCTGGACTCATTCTTGGTTGGTGCGCACCAATCCGGAGTAGGCCGGTCAAGCCACCCATCTTAGACTGCCTTCAGCTTGGCTAATTATTGGCTTTCGCTCCCAGAAGTCTTAATGCAGCCAGTTGGCCTAGGCAGCCTAGGCAGGGATTGTTCCATCCTTTCACGTCGGTCTTCCGTGCAGAGTTCCGATGGTCGGGACAACCGCCACACGCCGCTGACACCACCACCACTCTTCTCGATGGAAATGGAGCAGCAAGCTCTGGGACTTCGATTGAGAGGCCTGAGAGCTTTAGAGAAGAGTCTGAATGCTTCCACACTGGGTCTCTGGCGAGAAGACTCCATGCAGTGGTCGAAGGATGTCTCACCTCACGATAAGCCAGCGATAAGAAATTCGAAGGCGGTCAACTCCGGGAAGATTGTTGTAAGATTGATTTAGCCGGTTCCGGAAGGTATTGGAAGGTATTGGGTAATATTTATGACGGGCGATATGCGACGCGTGATACGTTTGATAAGTTAAGTCAACAACCTGTCGGAGCACCGGAGCAAATCCTCACTTCGTCCGTAGATACTCCGTGCCTACATCTTCCCCCCTCGCCCCCGGGCGCCGCTGCATTTGATCTTGGCCCATCCCTGCTGGTTCCTGTCAGTAAGGGAAGGATGGAGTCATAAACACTGAATTAGCTGAGGGTGACCTAATCCGACACTGACCTCACGCAATGTTGCCGTATGGTCGTGGACACACTCAGGCACCTTGGTCTTGTATGTTATTTGTCGGACTCTGACTTTAGAGCTTCGGATGTCGGAGAATATTAGTCTTAGTTGAGACGTAAGCGTGGGAAAGTGCGGACGGCTTCCCAGGCATCGAGGATTTCGCCCCCTTGGCCTAGCCAGTTATGCTGTGGCTACTTCGTATCTCATGCATCATGTCTCACACACCATCCTGCCTTTCTATTTCCCATTCCGGGCATCTCCGTTGCCTCCTGGGCACGGACACCGCTTCTTCGGTGTATACTCGCCAAGTGCTTCTGCCCCCCCTTGGACTAGCCAGTGTTGTACTTGTGATTCGAAGGTCGATGTCCGATGCTTCGATTTCCGGCTCAAGTCGCGGGGAACGCAGGCTGTTACGGGTGGGCAGGGGTGCCATTCGGTAATCGTCGCCTACGCACGGAGGATGATAACAACAACCTGGACTTAGGCCAATTGACTGAGCTCGCGATAACGACTTCAGGCTCATCTACAGGTGGGTGGCCACTTCGGCCATAATGAAGGTGCATGGTGCTCGATACTAGCGTGCTCAGGTCGGAAGCAATGAGCTGCTGATCTGGTCGGCAAAATCATGTCCCTATGCTGTGGTATCGGTGGCGCAAGCTCGCTTGCAGGACGTTCGTCTCTCCCGTCTTCGATCCCGCCCGCTTGGCATCTGTGGCGGCCTGCCTCTGAGACGGCCTAGACACGGGTGTATGGTAAAGATGCTAGGGGCTCTGAGCGATCGAGTCTAGGCTATCGTCCCTGCGGCAGGCCAGGCTGACCCATATGGCTCGGTCGGTTGCAGGAGGCCGTCGTTGCTTAGTGCCCATTCAAAGTCTGCAAGGAACTGATCATCAAACAGCACGGGATCATGTCGGTCCGCAAGACCACAGGGGGCATTGGACGGTCCGCTTATCTGGGTACTAGTAGAGTCGGCTGTTATCTCCGAGTCAGTAGGCAGGTTGCTTGCCAATAGAATCGTGGGGGAAGTGACACACCTCCTTCAGCCACAGTCGCTTGGGCTGCGCTAGAAGGATAGAACTGTGGCTCAAATTCATCGCGCCACCACCAGATCGTATCGATAACAGGGCTGAGCACGAGGCGGCTGCGGATGCGGAGTGCGATGAATCCGGTCCCATCGGCTTTTCGGAATACCTTGGAGCTGTTCCAGAGCTGGTTCATGACTATTGCGATTTTCGACGCAGTATCATGAACATCCACTGACATGTGTCTAGCCATGTTTATCGCACTGAAGAGGGCCTTCTTCCCTCTTGCAATGTCTAGGTCAGTATCGTTGGAGCATTTGAGGATTCGCAGGAGCGCCGATGCCGGGAGAAGAAGCCCATAGGTCATCTGCATTGGAGCACTAGCAAGGTTGGCCATGTTTTGCCCAAGTTCCTGGATACAATCGATAGTCCTACATGCCGTGGTCGCAAGTCGTGTGAGGCAGCCAGATGTATATATGGTCTGATGCTTAAAAAGATGGAACATCTGGACGCACAAGCGACACATGGTCGTGTGGAATCGATCGTTCGCTGCCTAGCGTCAGTCTTGAGCCAGCATGTGAGGTCTGAACATGTTACCTGAGTTCGCAAGGGCCTCGAGCTCGGTTGCCTGGCGCTCGAACGTGCGCAGGAGAATATCAAACGACTTTTCTTGCTCGGGTAACATGGTTCGAACTCCAAACTCCAATACGGCTGCGCTGCATCGGGCGATCAGCTCTAGGCATCTGAGTTCCAGTGCCAGAGACGGGGCAATTTTCTGAGATAAGACTTGTTGCTGACCCAGGTCTTGCTGCAAGTCTACCATTGACCGAGGGCATTGTCCTTTCGTTACGCACGCGCTACCAATGATCAGAGTTTCGTCTGGAGATTCAAGGAGTAGCTTACCGCTGATATACGATGACACAACGTGCCCACAGTTCGGCCCGTCTGGCCATGTCTGCTTCCGATGGGGCAGGTATATTCCTCTTGGCGAATTCATGACTCGACAAAGGGATGTGCAATCCATTCTGCATTGCAATGTGCAGGAGCATGCCGCTGAGGGGAAACATCACATCTGTTTTATTGATTTCCTTTGGAAAGGGCCAAGTCAGGACCAGCAACAGCCCTTGAATGGTGTGCCAAGCGGGCGCAGTCGACGTGACTGAGAGCAAGGCCATCTCGGTGATGTTTGGTGAGACGGCCATGAGCAGCGTGGGGTTCTCGGCGTATGATCTCGACGCAACGCCGACTATGGCCCAGAAAAGGAAATTCGACTGAGCGTGGTAGGCATTTGGAGTCGTTTGAGGGTCTAAGATGGGCAAAAAGCAGGCGTAGTCTCGGAAGAACCTAGATTCAATCAGCTTCGAGCTTTTCTATGCTATCGTGATTGGGCCACGTACAGTCGGAAAAGTTCGTCGATTTCAGACCCTGTTAGTTTGACAGTCTTCAAGGTGCGCGGTTCTGTAGGGTCGGACATTTCGACTGGCACCACTTGCATTTGGGGATAGGACAAAGTCGGACTCATTTGAGGTGTGAGCTGGGAGTGATAGGGGTTTGAGATGGTGTGTGGTTGAGGAGGAAGATTCAAGTGCCCTGTGGCCGGTGTGGAATGTACTCCCATCTCCGCCGCAGCTGTCAGCATGGCGATGGGAGACTGTTGCAGCGATTCGGAACGGTCGCATCTCAACTTTCGGCGCAATTCGTCGGTTTCCTGTTCAAGCTCGGAGAGACGCCTATACGAACGGTAAGCGCTTGGTCGTTCCGTTTCAGCAACGAGCAACGTACTGGCGCTTGTGTTCTCTGCGAAATGGATCCGAGATGACGCAGCGGGTTTTCATCCTGATGCAGCGGGAGCATGGAAGATCGGGGTTCATGTAAGCGTCACATTTTGCCTGTTGCAGAAGTATGAGCAGATCGCGTAGGAACGATGGAGCGACCATACCTTCTGTTGGCGACACTCGGTGCAAGCTTTTTTGGCCCGTCTGAGTGCGGGCCTGGGATTGCTGTTAGTGGGGCCAAAAGACCAGCTCAGACGTACTCACGAGTTTGATGGTGTTTCCATGACTGAAAAGACGGTCTGCTTCAGGCTGCGAAGATTTCGACGCGACGTGGGATGATGGTGGTGTTGTGAACGTTGAGGATGTCGGCGGGCGAGGTTGGCCGGCGGAGCGTCCGGAGATAATGCCATGTCTAATCTCCGGGTCGTTGCAGCCCCTGAGGTATCAACTTCACGGTATAACAATGAGTAGGAGTATGATGGGTACTGCTGGCCGTTCAACCAAGTGTATATCAGATGAGACTAGTTGCTTCGCAAGCGTCTAGTACCAACAGGAAGGTACGGCCGCGTGCGCTTTCTATTATATACTTGGATCGCCCCCTCCAGTCCGATCGCGAGACTAGACAGAACCTGAACCATGAGTGGCAGTCACGGATAAGCTTACTGTAAAGTCTATGAGGGCATACATAGTGTATGACTTGGTCAATACTTTATACTTCATGGATTGCGCGAGGGTAAGCAAATCATCGAGCATGGCAGCCAGATGCTATCCGGAACCGGAGATGTGCGAACTGAGGACCGGGACAGAAACTGTTTTGATTGGTTGAATGAAACCGGTACCGGCTGTGACTGGTGCCTCAGGCCAGCATCTGAATACTCACCCTAATAGTACAGGCCATCTATTCAATCGTGCGACACCATGTTATAAGAGGGTACGCGCAATATCAGCTGTTAAAGCATGCTGAGATAAGACTCAGACTCTCGGCTACAAGAAAGCCGAGTCCACAGTTGCTGCTCATATAACAATGGGTCACTATCTCCTATGTCCTCTGCATTATCGTAGTCCCTTCTGTATATGGGGGAGCTTCTTGAGAGCTCGTACTCGTAAGTACCATTCAGTATTTGATGTCACCGGTCAAATTGCTTGACGTATATAGTAGATCGCGCAGGTTGTGCCCTGACTACGTCCTAGCTGGTAGCGATAAACTCACGCAGAAAGTGACAGGCTCGACAGCTATCAACTTTTTGAAGCTTTGGACTCATCGAGCAACTAACCACAAAATTCTCAGGCCAAGCGTCTTCCAAATCTTAAATCCAAATCATCCCTCTTATTGGAGATCCAGGACGCTTTAAGGCATCCTGCTCCTTCCTGAAACAGCACCTCCAATTCCTATCATTGACCGGCTATCAAATTCGATCTTCAACTTGTTGCAAGCAACTTCGCTTCTTACTGGAAAAACCATAGCTACGATCAGTGCACGGAGTATTAGCTGAAGATGTCCAGCAGTTTTCGGGCAAACATGCAGAAACTAAACCAACGAGACGAAACTCTCTGTATAGGCTCCCTTCATGCTCATCGAACAACTTCACAAAAATCATTCATCCCTGCCTCCCTATACCAAGCAGGCCGCCTCATCAACCGCCGCTACCCCTCCTGGTTCCGCCGCCGCGTCCACCTCCACCTCCACCGCTCTCTCGCCGTCCTGATTTACGGGCTCCTCCTCCTGTACTACCACATCCACCTGGGCGCGGCCATGCTAGCGCTGAGCCAGAGCACCGCCCTACGAAACCCACGCGCGCGCACGTTCACGCTGCCCGCTTACCCGGGTGCCTCGGCCCCCTCACTACTAAAACTCCTCGCGGCGGCGGTGGACGACTTCGACCGCCACGGGGCCGTCGCCCTCCAGCGCCACGGGGACCCCTGGCTGCTGCTCCAGAACAAGTGGGTCTGGATCCCGTTCGCGTCCGCCTGGCCCCGCGCCGTGCGGTGAGGGATGGAGCTGGTGTACGTCGGGGGGGTGGGGGTGGGGCTGCACGTGCGGCGCGAGGTGCGGGAGTTGTTCTTTGAGAAAGCTGATCCTATGATGCATGCCCTGCGTAGCTCGTAGTTCGTAGTTCGTAATTTTCAAAGAAAATATACAAGCATCAGTATAAATTAAACCCTACACTTAATATGGCGCGATCAGAAGAGCCCGGCTAGCGAGTCCCCTCCACATGACTCGGGAGTCGGGACCCTCTAGCCTAGGGCTGAAAGTGACGGCGGCTCAGTGAAAGCAGCACCAGGGGTATGGGGCTGGCTGGATTACATCTTGTTCAAACACAGCGCCGCATCAGCGTTTTCTTACTTTTTCTTCTCCCGAGATCGAGCCAAATTCTCGGTCCAGTCTCATAGCAAACGCATCTTCTCAGCCTGTTGCTAACAGCCGAGTACTCTGCGGACATAATCCAGCTTCCAAATGCGCCGTGCAACATCAAAGAAGGAAGGAGCCAGTCAGCGATTGCAGCCACCTGCAGAGATCAATTCTCTTGTGCATCAGCCCTTGGCACCCCAGTATGCATTGCATAGCAGTACAACAGTGCACTGCATAGTCCTCAAAGTGGTACAGCCTGAGCGACGCGCATTTGTTGCAGTTATCAAACTCGGCCGGCAACTGGTCAACCGCTCTACCCCCCTCGGAATCGTATTAAGTTTATGCAGCTTGCAGCTCAACAAAGACCGAACCTCACATTCAGGCTGATATCCAAGCCATGGACCCACTGTAGATCCTTCCACCTCAGAATCCAACCATCAACGATCGGAGACCTGCCGAAACACGACAAAAAACATAATCAGACACCAGGATAACTCACCCCCCAAATTCCAAATACTGGGGCGCGAGAATGACAGCGGACGGAGAGGGGGAAGGGGGAAATGGTTAGCGTGAAACCTTGACTCTTATCGCGGGGGCCACAACAGCTGCCAACCTGCGATCCATTGGCTGTGAGAGAGCTTTTCCTATGGAGCGTGACAAATCAGTGCATCAGTGCAAGTGAGGCAGTGAGACCCAATTCGTATCATTCGTATTTGGAATATCGATTTTCTCCGTAGCAGTGGTCCATCCGGTTGAAAAAGTTGCCAAGTGACGCAAGTGAACCAACCCCCCACCAAAGTTATCGCAACCCCGCCATGTCGTCAATGAGTTGATCTGCCGAGAACAACAAAACACGAAGAGCTGCAAGCTGCGAGCTGCTCCCCCTATAAATACTCCACGACCTCGCAGACCCCAAAGGTCCTCACTGAGAACCTTGCTCGCCAACTCCTTTCTGTATCGCAATCAATCTTATCCAATCACATCCTCATCCTTCAAAATGCCTTTGACCGGTCACTGTCTGTGCAAAGCCGTCACCTACACCATCGAGGTGGAGGAGCCCGCCCTGGTCGGGTACGACCACTGCGACGATTGCCAGCGTCAGAGCGGTTCCACCTACTGTACGTGTTTGCTTAGTTGGTGATTAGTCGAGTGCATGCTGATGCTAATTTCGACAGCGCTGGTCGCGGTGGTTCCCAAGGACAAGCTCACGATCAACGGGCCGACCAAGAGCTGGGCGGGGCTGGGGTCTTCGGGTAAGGCCGTGCACCGCATCTTCTGCTCGGAATGCGGCTCGCCCATCGCCCACGACCCTGACGCCGCCCCGGAGATCATCGCCATCAAGGCGGGTACGCTGGACACGGAGATCAAGAAGAAGCTGAAGCCGGTATGTTCATGGCACCGATAATGGTTGATTGAAGTAGTGATCTGACGTGAGCAGGACACGGAGATCTGGACGGTCAGCAAGTTGCCCTTCTGCCAGGAGCACTTGGCCAAGCCGTTCAAGCACATGCCGGAGTAATGGATCGATGCATGATACCTGACAATAATGATGCGAAAAGTGAATAGCCTTGTTTACTTAATTTGATGAATGGAGATGTCCCCAGAACGGCCGAGGACCTCGTTGAATTGTAGCTATGCCCGGCACAGCCAATGGTAGTCGTAGTATGGAACAGGCACATCCTCCACAGCTCAAGCATGCTGACATTTCGAACAATAGTCAGTCATTATGCAATTGGCACAAGTTTTCGCTTGAATTAGGCATGCTGACATCCCATCGCGAGATGTACCCCTAACGCTTCAGATCAAGATGTCGGTACACCCAGAACACCAGGTATCACATCCATCCCGCACGACCACCAAGCTCATGCGGTAGCTCGACAACCTCACTGAATCAGCCTGCAACATCTCTACCTGCAACCTCCCGAATCTACTCACCAATCAAGACCCCAATCTTCCACAAACTTCCTAAATTTTGTCTCCAGTCTGTCTCAGCATCATGCGACCGCCAGCCACACCGCGTCAGCACGGCTGACCAATCCGTCTGATTTATCAGCAATCTGCCAAATTTAATCTAATCTGATCAGCTATATAACCCTAACCAGCATCACAAACGACTGACTTGAATCATCACCCCCCTCCTCACCTCCTAATCATTACCCCCCGAAAATGGTTCAATACCTCCTGACCGGCGTAACCGGCGGCCTGGGCGCCCACGTGCTCGAGTACTTCCGCGCGCACATCGAGCCCTCGACCTACGCCGTCGCCTCCTCCAACCCCGCAAAAGCTGACGAATTCACGCGCCAGGGCCTCGCCTTCCGTGTTGTCAACTACGACGACCCGAGCACGCTGGACGCCGCGTTCCAGGAAGTGGAGAATCTGTTCTTCGTCAGCTCGAACACCTTCGACAACGAGCGGCGCCGTGGACAGCATCAGGAAGTGGTGGACGCCGCGAAGCGGGCGGGGGTGAAGCATGTACGTTACGTTCCCCTTCCTTTCCACTTGGCCTTCTCTTGGGGAGATACAAACCCCCCTACCCCCCGCTCCCCAACCCACACGAGGCACTAACAGCAGAAATAGATATGGTACACCTCCCTCGCCTTCGGCGGCCACACCTCGACCTCGCAGGTCGCCGTCCAGCAAGCGCATTACATGACCGAGGAGATGCTTCGCGTGTACGCACCCCACTCTTGCCCACCCTTTCTACCAGCATGAACCCACCCTAACAAAACCCAGCTCCGGAATCCCCTATACCTCCATCCGCGAAGGCCTATACGCCGAAGCCTTCCCCCTCTTCTTCAACTGGTACCCCACCACGCAAACCATCGTGCTGCCCCGGCCCACCACGACCACAACACCATCCCCCACAGACCCAGCAGAACTAGCCCACACCCAACGGATCACCTTCACCTCGCGCCACGAGCTCGGCCACGCCACCGCGCGCCTCCTCCTGCGGGGCGGGGCCGCTTACCGCGACCAGATCGTCGTGCTCAGCGCGCGGGAGACACTGTCGTTCCAGCAGATTGTGGATCTGATCAACCAGCACCACTCCCAGGGCAGTAAGGAAGTGGGGGTGGAGTTTGTGCCGGCAGCCGAATACGTCGCCCGGAATGCGGCGGATGATGAGGGGGGCAAGGCGGCGGGGTTCTTTGAGGCGATGGTCTCGTGGCATGAGGGGATTGCGAAGGGGGAGGCGGTGGTCGATGGGGATGGGTTGATGGCGGAGGTGTTGGGGCGGGAGCCGACGCGGGCGTCGGTGAGGATTGAGGAGTTGTTAAGGGGTGCCCGGGGGCAGGGGGGGTATGTTTGGCATCAGAATTATGCGTAGTTGTTTTTTCCTACTCTGTTCTGGTCATAGGGTTGGATGCGGAGGGGATGGGGGGGGGTGTATCTAGGTGGTGAGGCTGTGATTAGACAACATGTCTATTGCGCAGGTGTCTGTTTAAGTAATGTACTCTACATGCAGATAAAAACACCGATTCTCGAAGAAACTATACAAATGACCCAGACTTTTGCCCAACCCAACCCAACCCAACCCAACCCAGACATAATACAACCCATGCAATCCATGATAACCCACATAGTTACAAACACACAACACAAAAATCAAGCCCTCGACCCCTCCCCAAGAACCTCCTCCTCCCCCCACTGCCCACTCTGCGTCCTCCCCCTCCGCATCCTCTCCCTCCTTACATCATGCTGCGGAAACCCCGTATGCCGCGTCTCATTCATCGTGACCACCCTCTCCCCTCCCCCTTCCCCCTCAACATCTTCATCCTGCTCCTTCTTCTCAAATTCCACCTCCTCGTCCGCCCCAAACGTCGACTCGCGCATAAACGGACTCCGTCTCCGGATCTCCGGCCCCTTGAGGATCAACACCACCGGCACCACCGACAACGCCAACCCAATGAACCCCAACAACGAGCCCGCCCAGCCGAACCCCAGGGTATCAAACAACTCATAACTCGCCAACGGCAAGAACGCGCCAAAGGTATTGCGCCCCAAACTCGCCGCACTCAGCGCCGACGCCGCATACTTCTCGTACGCATCCGTCAGGTAATTCACCACGGCCATATAAATCGAATAGATCCCCAGGCCCGCCGCCGCGATGCCGCACGTGGGCACGATCCAATGCACGAAGGGGAAACTGGCCCACCCGTACCAGAACAACCCGCCCGCGAACAGCAGACTCCCAATCACGGAGGTATACAGCCGGGCTTCCGGGATGGGGCGGCCAGGGACCTCCTTGTTGCGCTTCGCCGACTGGAGATACAACATGTCCTGGAGCGGGTTGATGGCGGTGCCGATCACGGCGCCCACCGAGATGGCCAGCTGGATGAGGCCCGTCGCCAGCGTGCCCCACCCGTAGTTGGTGGAGTAGGTCTGCACCACCGAGCTGAAGAACAGGTACAAAATGCCCCAGGCGAAGCTGATCCACAAGGTGAAGAAGATGACGACGGGCTCGGTGAGCAGCATGCGCGTCGGCCGCTCGAAGGAGATCTGCAGCAGTCGCCACACGCTCGTGTTGTCCAGTTCCGCCTCCGCGTAGATCGGGCGCCCCGTCTCCTTGCGGAGCTTTTTGGCCCGCCGTTTGAGGATCACGTCTGCGCGGGTCTCGTGGAGGATGAACCAGAAGATCGGGAGGAGGCCGGTGAGGTAGATGATTTGGATGTAGAAGATCCTGGTTCCGTTCCTGGATCAGTGACGTTTCAACCCCGGAAAGGTTATGCAAAAAGAAGAAGGAAGCTCACCACCGCCAGGGATCATCCTTGTGGATCTGCACAATCGCCGACCCGATGAACGGCCCCAGCGCAATGCCGATGACACTGGTCAGCCCGAACAGCGACATGGGCAGACTGCGCGCCCGGTCCCCGTACCAGACGTCGCTGATACTGCCGCCCACGATGTTGATCGAGACCGAGGAGGCCCCGCCCCCGAAGAACCGCGTCACCACCAGCGTCGCGAAGTTCTGCGCGAACGCCGACGGGAACAGCGAGATGATCAGGATGATGTACGCCACGAAGTAGCCGGGCATCCGGCCGGAGGACTCGGTCAGCGGCACGAAGATCAGCGGCCAGAACGCGGCCCCCATGTTCCACGAGCACGTCGCCCAGTACAGGTTGGGGAACGGGGTGTTCTGCACGTGGAAGCGCGACTCCATGTAGTCGTTGCCGGAGCCGTAGGAGCCGGCGGGGATACCAGTCAGGATGGAGCTGCGCAGGAGATCGTATTAGAAAGGGGTTTGGCTGGGAGGGGGGGTCCAGGAAGGGGGGCTTACATGAAGCACACCGTGACCGTCAAAACCCATTTATACGCGGGACTCCAATTGAACCTATCCGCACCCTGTCAGTCCGTCACTTGTTCCTTCGCCTATCCTGCATCCGTAAAAGCTAAACATACGGATTATCCGGATCATCCTTGCCATTCCAGGTGTGAATCTCCAGATCCTCCTTGTCGCGCAACTCATTGCGACTGACCACCCCGACATGGCGATCACGATGGAAGAACGATCGCACCCTGTGCCTTTGATCAGCCCCCAATTGCCCAGAGAATCCCCACACATTGACGAAAGTCCATGACTTACCGCCCGAAAAACGAGTCATCGAAATCATTGGTATACGCCGTACTGGCCCGCCGCATGGACGGGCGTCTATCCTCAGGAACAGCACTAGCAGCACTCATGGTGTGAGGCAGCAGCAGCAGCAGCAGCAGCAGCAACAGCAAAGGCTAAATTCTGCACGCAGCAGCAGAAATTTCTTCCTTTGTCCCTCCCCATTTTGTTATATACTTCCCACCCTTCCCACAAATCGGACCCTGGTTCGGCAGCCCGGTGAAGGTCGGATCTCAAGGGATCGTTGTCGTCATGAAGCTGCATTCGGGCCGAGTGGAGAAAGCCGACCAATGCCGATAGGGAAGGGAGGGCTTGTGGGCATTGATTATGAAATCCAACACATGACAGAACAAAAACCAGTGACAAATTTCACCCAAAAGAAAAGAAGTGAAAAAAAGTCTCGAATTGATTTTTTTGTGGACTGGGTTGGGTGGAAGTGGAAGTGGAAGTGGAGTTGGAACCAGAAGTGCAATTCAGCCGGTTTGAGGGTTTTCAGGGTTTAGTTGGGCGATGACATCATGGGAGGAGGGAAAGGCAGGAATCCATGACTTCATCCCCCGCTTTTCCCGCCAGGTTTGACCCTAAGCTGTTGCTTCTCCCCCTCTTTTCTGTTTCGCTCTCTCGCTCTAGAACAGACACTAGGCTGGACTCTGTGACATCGTATATGCAATATGCAGGTAAGCATGTAAGAGAAAAAAAAAAAGAAAAAAAGTACGACGTACCATACGAGGGAGGGAGAGAGCTACGTACACGTACGTACCTCTGCAGGGATTCATGCCCCTCCATTGCCCCTCCAACCCCTCACCCCTTCTCTCGTATTTATATCCCCTCCTTTTCCCCTGTTGCTCTTTTCCCAGAATCATTCAATCCAACTCTTCCAAACTCAATTCCATCCATCCATCCATCCAAACTCTCGCTCTCTCTTTCTTACCTACATCAACCAAACCAACACCACCAAAATGCCCATCCCCGTCCCCAGCGCCAACAGCCTCCAGGACCTCTTCAGCCTCAAGGGCAAGGTCGTGATCATCACGGGCGCCTCCGGCCCGCGTGGCATGGGCATTGAGGCCGCGCGCGGCTGCGCCGAGATGGGCGCCGACGTCGCCATCACCTACGCCTCGCGCCCGGAGGGCGGCGAGAAGAACGCCGCCGAACTCTCCAAGACCTACGGCGTCAAGGCCAAGGCCTACAAGTGCGACGTCGGCAACTTCGACAGCGTGCAGAAGCTCGTCGACGACGTGATCAAGGAGTTCGGCAAGGTCGACGCCTTCATCGCCAACGCCGGTCGCACCGCCAACAGCGGCATCCTCGACGGCTCCGTCCAGGACTGGGAGGAGGTCATCCAGACCGACCTCAACGGCACCTTCCACTGCGCCAAGGCGATTGGCCCCCACTTCAAGAAGCAGGGCAAGGGCAGCTTCGTGATTACGTCGAGCATGTCCGGCCACATCGCCAACTTCCCCCAGGAGCAGACCTCCTACAACGTCGCCAAGGCCGGCTGCATCCACATGGCCAAGTCGCTGGCCAACGAGTGGCGCGACTTCGCCCGCGTCAACAGCATCTCTCCCGGCTACATCGATACCGGGCTCTCCGACTTCGTCGACAAGAAGGTCCAGGATCTGTGGATGTCCATGATCCCCATGGGTCGCAACGGTGATGCCAAGGAGTTGAAGGGTGCCTATGTCTACCTCGTCAGCGATGCTAGCTCGTACACGACTGGTGCTGATTTGTTGATCGACGGTGGTTACTGCGTGCGGTAAATGTATCCCTGGAGGATATAATAGAGATACCTACCTAGCTTTTTTGATGAGTTTATAATGATAATGTCAGGAACGTTTCATGATACTTTTGTTTTTGTTTTTGTTCTTGCAAGTAGAGATCGAACTTGGGGGTGAATGGAGGTACTCCTGTACTCCTCAGACCCCGGCCAGTCACTGGGGGCCAGTGCTCACAGGGATGAGATAGATAGATTGTAGACATATCATTGGCGACTTCGGCTTCAGGGTGTTGTTTCCGGTCTTTTCCGCCCGTGCTCCACTTTGACTTTGGTGCGACAATCCTCAGTTAAAGTTATCGTTCATCCTTCGAGTTCGTATCGAAGAACGCCTCTTTTCGGGTCGTTCGGTATATTGAACCAATTATGCATGGCCAAGTCACTATCCTCGGGCTATAGGTAGATACATCACGAACAGCTCGCGTAGACAGGTACGTCAATATTCTCCAGCTGAAACGCCTCGTCACATTTTTCCTTTACCATTACCAGTCTCCCCCCCGGATTCCGTCTCGGTCTCATCGACCACATCCGCCACGTGCAGCATGCGCGGCAAAGTGCGCGCCAGGCGCGGTGGGTCCAGCACACTCTTCGACTGCATGAAAATCTCGTCGATCTCTTCCAGCGACCGCCCGTTGGTCTCCGGGAAGAAGAAATACACCGTCGGCACGATCGCCGCGTTCAGCACGGCAAAGATGATGTAGTACCGCCACGAGATGGTGTCGAAGCCCACTGGTGTCACCTCGGCTAATAAGAAATTGAAGGTCCACACCGCCGCCGTTGACACCGCGCTGATAGCGGCCCGCAGCTGCAGCGGCGCCACCTCCGTCGCGTACAAGAACGTGAGGCCGGAGTAGCCCACGGTGAAGATGAACTCGAAAACAAACAGGAAGATCACGGCTACAACCAGCGCCGCCGTGTTGTCCGGCAGTGACGTCGTGCCCGCCAGGATCGCCATCGATACCGACATCCCCGCCGCGCTCCACAGCATCAGCACGCGGCGGCCCAGCCGGTCGATTGTGAAGAAGGCCAGGAAACCCCCCAGCGGCTGCGTCAGACACATGGCGGCGGCTAGGACACGTGACTGTAGCGCGTCTAGCCCTAGATATTGCTCAAAGATGGTCGTGGCGTAAAAGGTTATGAGGTTGATCCCACACATCTGTTGGAACATCTGGCCTGCAGCCGCCAGAACCGCGCGGTGGAACAAGCGCTGTTCCCCCATGCTCAGGAGATCCTTCCAGGAGCCGGAACCCGTTAGCGCCAGCGACCGTTCGATATCGCGCACGGCCAGCGTGATCGCGGCATCCTCGGGGTCGGCGTCTGCTAGCGCGGCCAGGATCTCGCTAGCTTCCTCGGGGCGGCCACGCTTGAGCAGCCACCGGGGCGACTCGGGCATCACCATCACAAACGCCATGACCATCAACGACAACACCACCTGGAGAGCCAGCGGGAACCGCCAGGACACCGAGCTCCCCGTCACGAAGTAGAAGCCAAAGTCGATCCACAGCGAGATGGTGATTCCCGCGCCGATGAAGATACCATCCGTTACCACGTGGGCGCCTCGTTTGCTGGGTCGGGAGATTTCAGCCTGCCACACCGGGACCGTGGCAACATAGCCGCCAGTGCCCAGTCCCAACACCAGGCGAGCGACGATGAACTGGGCCAAGCCAAAAGAAGTCGCCATGAGAATAGCCCCGATCATGGACACGGCGGATGCGAGGAAGATGACCCGCCGGCGGCCCAGGAGGTCGCCCAGGTAGATGCATGACAGTGAGCCGAAAATACCACCGACGGTGTAGAGGGCGACGACCGTGCCTGTCGACGGTTAGATTCCATTTTGAATGCGGCGGAGAATTGGACGAGGAAAATTACCCTGGATAGTCGAATTATAGTTCTGCTGCGCGCCCGTCGTGGTGAGCGTGTTCATCTGCGGAAAGGTTTTGACGAACGACTCGAGGGTGAGCAAGCCGCCTGTGACGGCCTGGTTATAGCCATAGCACACGAATGCCGGACAGACAACGAGCCACATGACGGCACGTTCCAATTGCGAGCCTCGCAGGCCAAAGTAGGGCGACATGCTGGCACGTTGTATGGATGGGACCCGAAACAGCGAGAGAGCATCTGAAGGAGAATTATGTGTGACGATCACAACAATCGGCCAGGATCCTGTCCGGCACCTCACAATGACTGTCAAACCGACTAAAACTAAGCCATTGGGAACCCTTTTTTGTATAGATCCAGCTTCATCACTTTATAGAAAACCCTCCGATGTTCGCTGGTGGATGGCCGGTCATCGCCGGTGGCCGTGGCAAGGCCCGCCGCATTGACCAGGTTTCCCCAGATTTCAGTTTCCTTGGAAAAGGCACGGCGTGAGTCGCCAGTACGGAAGAGGCATGGACGCGAAAGAATGTAAGCGAGGCCCCGGGGCGACGCCTCCCTCTTTTCCCCACTGGATACTACAGGCGATCGTCGATGGGAGTCCCCACTAGCCGGGATGGCTTCCATCGGACCCGGCCGATGGGGGGGCAATGGACCTCGGGCCAGGGCCAACCCAGCCAGCAACGAGGAGGTGTGTGCAACTGCGATGTTACCTCACTCTCTCATTTGACCTTTCAGGCCGGTATGGGAGGGGGTTGAGGGGTTTCTTCAACGTTTGTTTGGGTGGGATGTATTTCCATCCCTGGCCAGGGTAAAGTCACATGTGGCAGAAGATCAGCCATCATGAGAAGTAAACACGAGAGTTCCCCTCGTGGCGGCAGCGCGTTGGCTTCGCTTATGAGGCGGATTTCGAATGGATGTTCTTGTCATGTCATCGCGGTCAAGGGGAGACAAGACTTCCTGTGTGGTCGAAATGGCGGGCGGGCAGTTTCGTTGAGACTATCGACCTTGGTCAGCGATTCTTGTAACCGGGACATTAATGGGCAGGATAGATAAGATATAAGATAATGAGAGAAGCATTGACAAAGGGAATATCACCTCTTCACTGGGGACTCGGCAATTATCTATCAGGTTAACTGCGTGGTGGGACCCCATTTGTCGTGAGTATGACACATCGTGGTGACTGTAGCGATCCAGCCTGGGCCGGAAGTCCGGGACATTCGCAGTGCAGATCGGCTGGAGCGCTGTGGACTTGGGCTTTTCTCCGTGATTGGCGGACGCTGTATAGCCTGCGCAGCAGATGTAGTGTATGTTTGACTATTTATGGCCGCTGCTCGTAGTTTTCAGTTTGGACATAGTTTGTCAGATGAGGATGGAAGGGTGTCAAAGAAGCTTGGAAAAGCCGGGGAGAAGGGCCCGGGGAGGGATTGCAACTACATTAAAATCATGTGACCGCGCAAGTAGCACCAGTAGTGACGATTCCAATGACGCCCAGTGAAGACTTTCTGTACACTGTACTAGGGATCACCATGCTCGGACTCGGCCAGTCCAATCTTACGGGGTGCGAATGACGATCCGCCAGTATATATTTGCTCCCCATGCCCTCCGCAAGGCATGATGTCACAAAATGATGACACAGCATAACATGGATATAAATCTCACTGTTGGAAGCTCATTTTGCCTGCAATATAGAATCTCGATAGACTACTCTTCAGCCAACGACTCTCGACCCTAGGTACAGTACACATATACTGGTGTGCTGCTCACAGCTCACTGTGAACCATTGACTACGATGGCTCAATAACACAATACAATATATGGGCAGCAGGAAAGGCACAATACATCAACTGGGTCCCATAGCTCAGTTGGTTAGAGCGTAACGCTAATAACGTTAAAGTCGAGGGTTCGAGCCCCTCTGGGACCATCTCTTTTTGCATCTTTCATGCGCACCCTCTTCTTTCACTGTTGGACAGGAAAATCTGAAAATCCGAGTATCTTATAATCACATGTAATGCCGATGCCGACTGCGGCGGAGAATTAATTGCGGAGCTTGTCCTTTATCCTTTACACTTCCAATAGGGCCCGACCATGGTGACCGATATTTAGATTCCGGTTTGAACAGCGGCTTCTAAACCGGCTACTTGCACCCGGAGAAAATATTCGAGATTCCTGAGCAGCATTTGCATGATTACATCCTAGGGTATGGAATGGGAGATGCACTGGGGGATGTCTGTGGGCATTGTAGCGGGGTTGCCCTTCGTCCATCCTCAATGCCACGGTGGACATTCAAGACCGTTTGAGGAAACTGTACAGAAGCAGTCTAGAAATTGCACCGAAGACAATTGTCAACAACGTAAATCCAACAACAGATGTGCACATCCATATATCAAATCAAATCACTTCACCTTAGTCTTGCTAACCACCCTCCCATCCGCAACCCTAACAGTTACCTCCACCTTGCCCTTGACCGGATCGACTGCCTCTAACCGCACCACCGAACCCTCATCATCCCCGCCGCCATCAACCACTCCAATCTGAGCCATCACCGCGCCAACAAATTGGCGATCCTCCTCTTCCTCCAAAAAGTGGGTATCCGGCCTCCAGATTCCGTCCGTATACCGTTCTGCCAACTCCTCGATCTGTTCCTCCTTCCAACCGACCGGATATCTCGCCAACTCGTACAGTAGTTCCCACCGCTCCCGATGCGGCTGCGTGACCGGGGTATATCCATATGTATAGATGGAGATCCAATCCCACCATCGTTGCTGTTGAATATACGTGCCATCAATTGCAGCACCAGCACCATCAGCATGACTACCCGACATCTCTAACTCACAAGCCCGCTTTGCACCTTCCTCGCGCAGGCAGCGCAGCACCTCCGGAAAAGCATGGTATGCTTCTGCAGCTCGAGAAGGTGGACCCTGCCCGTCGTCATAGACGACCTGGTCGTCTACAGCGGCCCGCTGTGCTGGACCCGGTTTGTACATGGCCAGTTTCTCCAGATGGGCCCGGCGACTGAGCTCGGCGGAGTGCAGGGCATGATCGAGGACAGTAAAGCCACGAGGCTTGCTTGGATCAAGGTCATTCAGGCGCGACCGCAAGCCCAAAGAAAGAAGCAGCGTGGTCGTTCGGACCTTGCCGCGGATCACGGCGGCTACGAGACTATGTATTGCCCCCTGGTTGGGGAGGAAGAGTTTCTGGTAAGTCTCGTGAATGTCCCCGGTGCCTTTCGTCTTACTCTCTGTGGCGGATCTGCCAGAACAGATGTATTCCAGGACAGCAGTGATCAGGTCGTAAGTGTCTTTATCGTGAAGAATCGCATTATTGGCGATGGCGAAAAAGATATCTTTACCTTGATCCGTAAAAAGCGTTGGTGAGGCACCTTTGTGTAACAGGAAGAGACCACGCCTAGCTGGGTCGTCTTTGGTCTCGAACGCGATCGACAAAGGAGTGGCGTCCCGGCGGGTCTGCGCGTTGAGGTCTGCTGGAGGATCGTGCTCAAGCAGGATCTCGCACGCCTGTTCAAATTCGTCCTCGGGGTGATATGTTGTCGACAGGGAATGCAGGGGCGTGTCGTTTTCAAATTTGTTCCGGATGTCTAGATCAGGCATGGCAGTGACAATCCGGCGGAGGGTAGGAGTGTATGAGCGTGGATAGTCTAGTCGGGGACCCACGATCGACGCCCACGAGTGAAGTACTACGTCTTCCTGTCAGTTCATGCGACAAGCGACAAAGGAGCTGCCCCGGGACATACCAGTGTCTCCAGCCGACAAGATTGATTGCTGAAGGTCTGCACCCGCATCGAGCAGGGCAATGACTACGCCACCGTTCCAGACACCCAGATCGACAGCAGCAGCAATGGGGGTGAGCGGTGGATATCCCGTGTCCTTAGCATTTACATCTGCCCCAGCATCTAACAGCAGACGAGTTAGCTTGCTCGTATGATCGAGACATGTCTCCCAGTTGCCGTGCCGGATCCATGCGTGCCAGTGGTGGGGGAGGTATCCATGTCGCTCAGGGAAGTATTTTGTCATGCTGTGAAGCGTGTTTCTCCCCATCGAGTCGTTGAGCTTTCCATCAGCTCCACGGGTTACGAGAGTCTGAGCAACTTCGACATCCCCAAACCACGCCGCAAGTGCAAGGGGCGTGGTTGCGCTGTCACAGCCATAAAATTTGGCATTTACATTAGCACCTAGGTCGATGAGAGCATTCATCGCTGCTAGGTTGCGAAAAGTCGCAGCCCAATGCAGGGGTGTCCCATGAGGTAGTTCAAATGGGCTTCGTAGCGTCAGCAATGGCTAGAATAGTACAAGGCTTATGGGATCTCACTAATGCACGATCTGGATTCGTTTGGGGAATCCTCCACTATTCTCGCCCACAACAGGTATGATAACAGCGTTGACATCAGCACCTGCTGCAATTAGCTGTTTTGCAGTCAAGTGGATGGCTTCGTCCGGCAACATAAAGAGCCAATGCAACGGAGATAATCCAACCGGCGTTGTGTGGGACGCATCTGCCTTTATTTGGAGCAGGTACTGGATCACGCTTGCATGACCAGCCTGACATGCTTTGTAAAGTGGAGTCTCCCCACTGTCGTTCGACACATTAACAGCTATGTCCGTTTCCTCGAAGAGTGCTCGAATTGTTCCAAGATCTCCCAGAGCAGCAGCGGCGTGGAGAATGGTATTCCCATTTTGATCAACTATGAACCCATGTTCCAGCTTCCATTTGACAGCCTTCTGGGGACTGCGTGCGGCATCTACCACAGCCTGTTTCCCCAGGAAAGGATCTGCACAAAATCCGCCATTGCGACGAAACGTGCTCTTTGCCTGTTCCCTCTTCTCAGTTGCAAGAGCGGATGGAGGAGCGAAGAGATAGCCTTCCGCAACGGCCTGGAAAGTCCATTCTTCCAACACTTTCGCGTCGAACTCGGACGATAGATCATGAGCAGCCATGATTTGAGCATAGACGGCTCTTGCTGGAGAGTGGCTACCCTTTGCGGCGTCAGTCACGTACAATAGAAGACGGTCAAGATATGACGGCTTGGCCCCTGTCACGGTCTGCGCCATTCCTAGTAAAACATCGCCCGGGGTATCTGCCGATGCACCCTGCTTCGCCGCCATGTATTGTGCTTCCAGCTCAGACAGAACGGACGGATCCAGTCGGTACCAGAACAATGGTCCTTTGTTGTACATTGGGTCCAGTGTGCCAACATACGGAGCAGACTCATTGCCGATTTTGGCAAGGGATAACCTATGGACTTAAGAATCTTTCTTCCAAGGAGATATCAGTGATACACATACCAAGAAGCATACGCAGGTGTATCCGCCTTCAATAGCTGAGAAGTTGGTAGCGGTCGGTTTCTGGGATCTTCCGCGAGAAGCTTGAGCAGCGCCTTACGAAGCTCCATACGCAAAGCGGACGGAATGTCTTCACGCTCATACAGCATCTCAGAGATCTCCTCGCTTGCATTTTCGGGGTTTTCGTCAAGATCTACCGGCTCTCCTCGATTGACAAACATGGATAGCACCGTCAGGCCGAAGCTGTATGCATCGAATCGAAACATCAGATCTGGCTTGAAAGGACAGAAGCGTGCTAAATCATCGTTGGCCACCTCGGGAGCCAGCCACGCGGGCGTTCCACGATAATCACTCATAGTAAGCCGAGCGTCAGGGGCCTCCAGATCGATGCAGACCCCAAAATCACTTAATTTAGCTCTAAATGGCACTTTCCCGCTCTCCATGCCAAATACAAGCACGTTATCTGGCTTAAGATCTCCATGCACTATACGCAGATGATGCAATGCCTCTATTCCATTCGCGATATCCAAGCTTAGTTGATACTTGACTTCGGACGAGCAGTCATTGCCAGCTGCGAGGAAGTCCGTTAAAGGCATCAATGCGGCTTCCACGAAAAGGACCGGAACCGGCATATCAGCGAACGGATAGTCATAGCCCCACGCGATCAGCCGAACAATATTGGGGTGACGCCGCAGGGACGGATTGCAGAGAGCGAGTAGTTCTAGCCCAAGTGTGCGCAACTGAAGACGATAGTCTGGGGTATCGGCGAATCGTTGAGCGGCTTTTCGTGAGAGAGGCACGTTCACCCGCTTGATCACCAGCCCCTCATTTCCGGTATACCCTTCATGCGACTTTTCCTTGAAGACAGTAAATTGAGAGCCAGCGCCGATCTTCGTCGCTCGCGTCGCCAGGTTAAGGGCCTTCAACAGTCGCGGTCCATGGATTCCAGTCTGAGACAATATGCCCGCAAACTGAGATACTGTACTTAGAATAGCGGACTCTCCATTCCGAGTTGCAGTAATCGCCGCTTCCAAAAGGTCACTAGAATGGGCCGACGACAGGCTCAGGCTATCTAGATCCAGGTCCAAATCCACCACATCATAGCTATCGGCAGTGCCGGAAGCCCAGTCTCTCAATGAGGGGGAAAGGTCTCCATTATCCAGAGAGGAGAGAAGATCGAAAGATTCATCGTCCGACATGGTTGTGTATGCAAATGTCAGGGATGGTGCTTTTTGACGCACAATACGGGGGAAGTAAATATATGTTCTTCACTACCGGCCTATAAACGAACCGGTGGCGGCGCTATGGATCTAGAGCCATATTACCCCTCACTATGCTTATTAGCCGGCATAATTTCAGCCGCGTCTGACACCTATGACATCTTGTCAGCCCCCAACGCCCTCCCCTCTGTGCTGTCTGTGCTCTTTTCATTCATCCATCCATCATTCGGTCTCAATCAATTGCAACGACGGAGCGATCGCATTCAAAATGGATGTTTATGGCACAGCGGTAACGGCCATCACGCAGGCCTACCAGGTAACCGTTTTTATCCAAGGCGTTATCTCCGACATCAAGTCCTTCGATGAGGACCGAGCAGAACTCCGCCTGAAGTTGAACGTGCAGCTCTCGACCCTGCTCTTTTTCCGTCGCATTTTTGTTCATCCTGATCATGGCTTACTCCTGCCGGGCAAACTCGACCCTTTCATTGCACAGACCATCGAGGGCCTGCTTGTTCAAATGCGCAAGACATTGACTGAGTATGAGCTTGTGGCTGTCAAGTATGGCCTTGTGATGGGCGATGACGAGGATGAAGGATTAGAAAAACCCGAGCAGGTCAAGGAATCACTCCTGCATCGCATCAAGATCAAAGCCACGTCCCTGAAGTTGAAGGGCTACGATTGGTCGTTGTTCGACAAGAAACGGCTGCACAAGATACTTGAAGCCTACACCAACTGGTCAGCCGACTTGCGCAATTTGATGCAGCATCTGTCCCAGGACACGCTATCCAGGGTAGTGGATGAGAACGATCAGGGCCTGAAGGCGACCGGGCTGGAGCCCGTGATCAAGCGGCGAAAATTGGTCGAAGCGCATGCCCCGGCCGACTTTCAGAGCCTGAAAGGCCAGGTCAGTGAGGAAGGTAATGTGTCGGGCGGCTATCAGTTGGGACGCTGGACGCCATCCGGCTCGACATCCGGCACGACGGTGGTTATAGAATTTCATGAGTATGAAGGCATGTTGAAAGGTGGTGATCTGGAGCCCGATGAGATCGAAGAGTTGAAGGAGCCCATTCGCAATCTAGCTTGGCTTCTGAAAAACAGCACCTTCAACAGCCACAAGTCCTCCGAGGCTGAACCAGGGTTGGAGCCACCTCAGATTTATGCGATGGAGTGTCTAGGGTTCATCGACCAGCCGGAAGAGGAGCGCAACGTCTTCCTCTATAAGCTTCCAACGTCCGACGAGGTGGATCAGCATCAAGACACAGCAGTGACATCAAAACTCACCACCCTCCATAGCTTTATCAACGCTGTAGACCGGGAGAACAAACGACCACTGAAACGGCCATCCTTGAATGATAGGTTCAGCATGGCGCATTGCCTCGCAGTGACCCTGCTGAATGTCCATGCCTCGAAGTGGGTTCACAAGAATGTCTGGAGCAAAGGAATCCTCTTGTTTTTGCAGACTCCAGCAGGCGTCCGCGCCTCGGGTCTTCAGGCGCATCGACTGTCAAACACCCCAAAGTCTCAAGACCGAATTCTCGCTTACCTGAGTGACTGGGGCTACGCACGGTCCGAGCAACAGGGCACGGACATGCGTGGGGACTTCGAACCCGAAGCGAACCTCTACCGTCATCCTGAACGGCAGGGAAAGCCCACCCGACAATTTCAACGGCGCCATGACATTTACGCCTTGGGTGTAGTGCTGTTAGAGATCGGTCTTTGGGTGACATTGTCTCGATTGATGGAGCCCAAAATCCGCGAGGCAGAAAAGACCGGACGACTACCAAGGCCTAAAAAGGTCGCCTCGGATTTGACTGCGCTAGCCCAGCAGAATCTGCCAAAGGAGATGGGCGACGGTTATGCCCAGGCCACGATAGATTGTCTGGCAGGAAATTTCCGCGACGGAGATGCAGAACTTGCCTTGGATTTTCAAGAGAAGGTGGTGAATGTGCTGGCTCAGGGAATAAATCTGTAAATCGTTCGTTGTGAAAGAATGTTGAGTTGATCTCGCTTGAAATGCCTCTCTGCTACCCATTTCTCTTTTCTAGTTTAGCCTTGACCTTCTGTTCGTAATGATCCTTCCATCGCGCGAGAGCGGCTGCTCGCTGACCATCCGAGGCCAACTGGAGTTCTGCGATGCCCTGGGCAATGCGTGATTTCACTACACAACATCGTCGATTCTTCCCATAGGAATTGGCAATGCTGCGGTGAACCCCACTTAGAGGGTAACCCAGCAAGCCCCATAGACCTGTACGTAACATCAGTCTGGCGCACGTCAGACCAGGGAAGCCATTTGAAGCCTACCTGCTTGAGGTTTGATCAACAATCCTCCAATTCCCTTGCCAACCCCGGATGCTAGACCGGAAGCGCCATGGCTATCCCATCCTTGATGAGGTTGAGTCACGACACCAGTGATCCCATCGTACCAGCTGTACACGAACTCCTGTGACACGTTAGCCATGTGTGGCAAAGAGATACGTCATACGCGAATCTGACCTGGCCAGCTGCGACAAATCCTGACTTGACTCCCGTGGCTATGGGTGCCTCTCTCACAGTTTGGTCGTGATAGAATCGAGGAGCATTGTGGAACGTATGGCACAATAAGAATGTAACGCTCATTGGGATCTCAATGATCCAGTCCAACAATTGACGTCCAGTGTAGCCAGAATTGATGAGTACATTACTCACAGACGCCGTGCCACGGTTCATGGTCGGCATGTCCAGAGAGCTCTGGCTCGAGGATGATTTCAGCGAATTACTCGAAGGAGCGATGGAGATGCCCGAGTCTGATCGTTGACGAGTCCCAGACTTATCTGCGAGAGGTGTCGAGCGCGATGGGGAGACAGGCGCTTGCGTCGCGCAATAGCTCGAGAGACTATACCTCTCGGCGAACCTGATGGAACGTGACCGTGCAAAGTTTTGCACTAATTGAATGGGCATCTCGACGAAGCCGGTGAAAAAGTTTGTGAGGGACCCAGCGAACATCTCAGCTCCGGGAAGACCTGGAACGCCCGGATCAAGGTTCGTATCGTAGGATTTAATTCGAAGCCTGTCAAAGATGAGTCTACAGAAAAACCATGGAAGTGCAAGAGAGCGTACAACTTGATGTTCTTTGGGTCTAACTGCTTCGAGTGGACAAGGACTGCAGCAGCGAATGCACTGAGAAAAATGCTTGTGTGCTGGACTCGCCATACAGCCGGACGATCAGGGCACAAAGCGCATCTCAACCTATTCAGGCTCAAGTGCTTATGAAAACTTTCCATTGCCGCTGCGGCACCTTGCTCGGCTTGAATCTTACAGCTCAAGACCTTGGCTTGTTCTTTGATCTCGGGTCCCATGCAGTGCCGAATTGCGCCCGCAAGCTTATCTGCCGTCAATACTTTGAAGGGGATTGGCGCAGGCCCCGCACCATTGGAGGCAACAAGCATTCCCCAGAAAGGCTGATCACCGAAGAATGGAACAATGACAGTGGGTCGGCCCAAGGCTAACCCGGTTGCTGTCGTTCCTGCACCACCATGATGGACAACGCATGACACTCGGGAGAACAGCCAGTCGTGCGGACAATTGCCTAGGAAGTACACATTCGGGTCATCAGCCTCATCAGCACCGATATTACCCCAACCTTTGGAGACTACTGCCCGCTGACCGGACATTCGGACGGCCTCGAGAATAGTCTGCGTGAGTGCTTCCGGGTCGTCGACAACAATTGATCCAAACCCAATGTAGATCGGCGGTGTTCCAGCTTCAAGAAATTCGACTAGATCTTGAGGCGGCTCATACTTGTCATCATGCGGCACAAAGGAGAACCCAGTCACATCGATATGGTCGAGCCAATCGTCAGGCTTCGGCAAGAGGGAAGGAGACCTGAAAAACACTCCGTTTAACTCGAGCTCCCAAACGAATAGATATCCTTCAATTGTACATACCAAAGATATGTGAAAGGTATCCTCAGCCGAGAAAGAAGGCTGGGCGCACGCATAGAATCCAGCCGCTCCAGTCCCAACTCATGCCGGCGAAATTCGTTGATCAAGTCACCCACGCCCTGCCATATCACTGTTTCCGCTATCATGTACGACATCAGCTTACCTACTGATGATTTGGAATTTGTCGAGCGAACTTTCGCCAGTGGATGTGAAAAGGCCTGCGTAGGCGACCATGGCATCCTGTGCTCTATGTAAGCATTTATCGACAAGACAACCACCACCACAGAACAACCCACGTAAACATCAAATGAAGAGGAATCCCCATCTTCTCCGCACAATGAATGTGTGCGAAGCTCGGGGGGTTGGCGATAATAGCATCTGCGACGAATGGCGGCGCACCCGTACACTCAGCCGGATTGAAAGGGTGAATGCCCTCCCCGGGTTCAAAACAGGATCGCCAGCAGCCACCGAGGATCTCTCGCACATCCTTCCGCCGTCGGCTGATATCGCCCTGCGTAATCGCTTCCACCTTGGGCACCAGGTTGGGGTTCTTGACCATAAACGACATAAGCTGCGCCGGGTCCCCGCCAATGTTGAAGAACTCCAAGTCATGAGCGCGCACAAAATCTCGGAATACTAGGTGCGTGGCTAATCGGACGCGATGACCGTGTCTCTGTAGTTCCTGTCCTAGCGCAATAAAAGGTTGCACATCCCCTCGAGACCCGACGACGTGTATGACCACATTCAACCGGAGCGGAAACCGCGTCATGCTGTCTTCTGGCATCCAGGGACGATGATGCTCAGCCTGGCGCCGGAGGACATCGAGGAAACCCGCAAGCCGGGGACAGTTCTCTTGTAGGTCGACGAGCAGGCGTCCATCATCTAAGAGCCATTCATAAAATTAGCGACCGTACCCGTGATTGATGTTCGAAATCGAGAGTGATACCTGTAACCGCACTCTCTGCTAGAAGGCCCGGAATGAGGGCCTTGAGTGCCTTCACCTCGCATAATTGAGGATTGATCGTCTCCGTCATGACTGAAAGATGCTGATCTGGGAGCCTGAGATGGGATGGGTTGAGTGTCTCATGTCCGGACAAACAAGGTCACCATGCTTGTCTAACAGTCCTCGCTTGACTTTGTTCTAGCATTGTTCAGACAGCAGATGTGCATGACAAATTGATTATTAGGATTCCTGGCTCCGTGGCGTCAGTCGTGTTCGATCTCGATCTGGGCCGATCTGGGAGTCTCGTGCGGTGGGCGAACCACGGTTCGTGCACTGTTTCCGACATGTTGATATATAATCATGTCCTCAGATCCCTGGTTGTTGACTGTCAGCACGGGGATCCCTGGTTGTCAACTTGTCAGCACGGGGCTCCCCCACACAACACCCACGCACGACGTCATCTTCTGTTCAAGCTGATGGGTCCTGGATGAGTTGAGATTCAGAAAGAGGCTTGGGTCAAGCTGTGAGTTCCGGGAAAATATGGCCAGGCGCAAGCGGTAAGAACAAAACGGGCGCCCGCGGGCAGCAAATCCTTTGGAGAATGAATTCTTCGCTATTCAACAGTGCAATAAATTCCATTCGTCTCAGACCGAGTCAGGTAGCGGTTTTCTATACCTCTTCCCCTGCGCGGGAGGCAACTATTCATTGCAGGCATACTATCTACTAATCTATTGCATCTAAAAGCCCCTATTCAGCTCTGACCCTAGTCACTGGCCCCCGATATTGATGCTTCGCATATAGCATATAATAACCCACAGCCAAGAGCACCACCCCAGAGAAAATCACAATACTCCAATTCATGTCTGCAGCATCGGGGTGGTTGGTGAGAGGGAAGAAACTAAATGTTAGAATCAGAACCAGCACAAGGATTGAGACGGTGTCGATGAACGGCGTGGCGCGTCCAAGACTCCACCGTGCCGGAGGGAGATAATCGCCTCTCCATCGCCGGAGACGCACACACGAGATCGAGATTAGGTAGGAGGAAAGTAAGGCAGCCGTGCCTAGGGACATAATGGCATTGAAGGCGACTGCGGAACCAATGTTGATGAGGGAGAGGAGGGTCACAATAACCATGCTAACGCCTAAGGCATTGAGAGGTACTTTGAGGGTCGGGTGAATCTAATTTTCATACATTAATCGTTGGACTTTTGTGTTGTCACTCTGTTCCGGGATCAAACAGATATTGATTGATTCGGGTGGGCAAAGGATGCTGTACCTTTGAGAAGAATCCAGCAAACGGCAGGCCTTGGTCACGCGCGAATGCGTAAATTTGTCGAGAAGTCGTAGCAACGTTGCTGATGGCAGCACAGAACTGCATGATCATGATAACGACCGTCATCCCGGTCGCTGCGCGGGTCGAGCCAGTGGCGTTCCAGAAGACCTGGATGAAGGCGAATCCGGTCTGACTGGCCATGACCTCTTCAATGTCGCCGAGACAGAAGGCAAAGGTGATAATCATAATGAAGCCGGTGGTCCCGTTCAGAATCAAGGTGCTAACCATGCTTACGGGGAGGACGCGGGAGGCATCTCGGATTTCTTCGGCTGGTGAGGTTTTAGTATTTGACAAGGAAACTGGATGCAGTTCCAGATCCTGGTAAGGGGCGGGGGCCACGGCTAAGGAACTTACACATGTGCACAGCAGAGTCGGGACCTAGATGACACGATTGAATCAGTATGAAGAAATAGGTAGCCAAGTAAGACATCGACATACCGATAAGGGCGTAGATTGGGCCTGTCAGCCCTACCAAGCACGCAAGCCCCATATTACCCCACGATCCATTGTCCTCAAACGAGCCAAAGACCTCCGAAGCTGGGGCCGTGGGCGACAACACCCACAGTGGAATCAAGATGCCGAAAAAGCCAAAGCAATGCACGATCAGAATAATACCCTCGATGAAAGACAGCTTCTGGGCAAAAAGTGTGTTGAACAACAGTGCCCCTAGAGCTGCAGCAATCACGATCAGCGTTACATGCCACGGTTGATAAACATAACTGTCAGGGTAGTTGATCGCGAGTAAGCCGACCAACATGTTGGCGACAGTGTAGCAGCAGCCTGCGATTCCTGTATGCCAGCCCAAGACACACACCCAACCGGTAAGATAGCTGAGGAAGCGCTGTTTACTGGGGGGTGCGAACTCCGAAACCCAATGATACTGTCCGCCAGATGTTGGGGCCCTGAAGTGGTCAGCGACTATACGCATCCACTTGTATTGAATCACTCACATGGAGGCCATTTCAGCCATCGATAAAATCACGAAGCTGAAGCCTATCACTGCCCCGAGATAGGTATAAATCATTCCTGCCTTCCCTCCATCTGTGAGGCCGTACGAAGCACCGCTGTCCGGCCCAGTTAGTCAAAGGTGCAGTACATGCTACTCGGCAAACGTACAACAAGACGGCTTCCCAGGTACACATCAAAACTGCACTGAACCCGACAACGGAAAGGAGTCGAAAGTTTCGCTGATCAAGTTAGATCTCATTCACAGGCTGTATTGACCCACGTGGTATGCTCACGTTCAACTCCTGTTCTCTGCCTACACGCCACATATCCTTTCGATCTTGCACCGTGCCATCTTTTCTTGTAGTCGTGGAACCCTCATATTCGCCAGGGGATGAGTACGTAGAAGACTTCGGTGCCTTCTCCGTGGTAGCCGACATTATAGCTGAATGCGCGGGTGAGAGTATTCAAGCCGAGGGTAGACCGCAAAGAGCGCACATTTCTCAAAGGAGGGGATCCCCCCTACTTAACGTGATCATCGTAGCGCGGAGTGCCCATAGGCCGGCAGGTCTGGACATTTCATTGACGGGTAAGATTAATATACTGAAGTGGTCCATCAGCAGCTAAAAGTTAGGGTTGGGAACAATTGATTGTGTGACCTGCGCGGGCCAATTTCCCAAAGTGCTTATCCCGCAGTATCCCTGCAAATGCAACGGCACTTATGCACACTAAAATCCCCGTCGTTATGTAGATTGACTGTGCCACGAATTTCGCTGCAGGAGGGCACTGCTCAGCACGTTTCTGTAGATGGCATAATTAATTTTACTTATATCCATCCCTGTTAGTCCGGTTTTACATCAGACAATGGGGAGAAGCACCCCGGTCTGCGCGATTTTTTCCTCGGCTAAGTTCGACCGACTCCAGTAGACAAGGATCAAAGAGGTTTGAAACTGTTGTCGAATAGGGGAGGTGTCAATCACTGATTTTATTAAACATGAGCCACTTGCAATTTGACAGAAAGGTCTCTCGCTGGTCTCAAAAACAATCACTTTGCCACTGCGACAGCAGAAGTATGGATCAGTCAATATGCCAAAAGCAGCCTATGTGATCTCAGACACAGACCGTCGTGGTCTGGTGGTCGTTGTCGCCACTCTCTTCATGTCTTGGATGGTCCTGGTCAGCCTCTTTCGCATCTACATGCGCTTGACTATCATAGGGCCGTGGGGACTAGACGACCTGATGGCTATATTTGGTGCTGTGAGTACTGAGCCATGCGCCAGATATCTGGGTAACGCGACAGATCTGGAAGTACTGAGACCTGAGTATTTGGTTAGATGATGGGGATCGCTAATGTCGGGGTAACGATGAAAGGTGTCAACGATGGATTGGGAAGCACAGGGAACCACCAAAGGGCGTCTCAAATCGACCTCGCTGAACAGGTATACTCCGCTTGATGGAGCACAACAGACCGAGCTTTGTGCGCAAGGCTTGACTAACTCGTCTAGGACTTGTATGCTACAAATATTCTGTTCCTGGCTGGCCATTGTGCAGCCAAACTGTCAGTTCTCTTCCTCTTGCAACGTCTGGGAAGAGAAAGGTCATACCTAAGGGCATGCCTGGGAGTGATGGCGGGCATTGTTTTGTGGGCGGCGGTATCGATTCTGATCGTTTCTTTGAAATGTCCATTCCGTCATCCGTGGCTCATCAGCCAATGTGCGAACATCGTAAGTCCTTGCTCGGTTTGTGAATGGCTTTCAAGTTGACGACAATCCTAGCTCGCTCGCTGGCAAGCAATCACCGTTTTAGATGTTATGACCGAACTTTCGTTGCTTATCCTCAGTTTGTATCTTGTCTGGCCGATCCGCCTGACACGAATGCGGAAGGCTGGTGTTATTGGCGCGTTCGGGACGAGAATCGGGTAGGGCATCTGCTCTTTTGAAAGTTCCCTGCCTTGGTGAAAGTCAGCTTCTAATCTCTGGATGCCTAGAATTGTCATCCTTTCTATCGTGCGGCAAACCACGCTGAGCACCATTGCACATACCAACGACCTCCTTCTCGACATCTCCGACGCAGTCATCCTGACTCAGATCCTCTTGCATTGCAGTATCATGGCAGCGACATTGCCCTGTCTCAAACCGTTCGTTGTGGCATTTAACACTGGTTGGGGTCAAGGCACAGTTGGACAAGATGGTAGTAGCTATTACCATCAGCCCAGCACGGCATCAGCGACCGTGGGAAGGTCTTATGCTGCTTCGGGGAAAGGGAGGTCGGAAACCTCGCGGCAAAAGAATGGGGACAGAACGGCTGTGGGTGACTCGAGCCATCGAGGCTCTCAAGACTGGATCATTCAGGAGACCCGAGAATGGTCGTTGCGGTATGAGACGATCGAGATGAAGCCAGTGGATTCGAAAAGATAGACGAAGAAGGGTGCTCGCGGTATGTATCGTCTGGTACGACGAGCCACTATGGGAAATCTCGTAATTAATGCCTAATGTGGTATGACGACCAGCCATCTTACTAGCGGCAACGTTCGTAAGATATACTCTTCGCAGCCAAAGTACAGTGCCTGGCTTCGTTTCACAGCCAGAAAATCAGCAGCTGGCTGAGTTGTGATTATTAGACCATGATCCCAATAAGATATATGGGCTGTGACGAGGGCTTTTCTGAAATGCTATTCAACGCTCATGGCTTGCGCCGAAACCTTCTCCCCAAGTACCCTACGATATGTGCCTCTCTCGAAGATCTATAGCAGGTAAGACGTGCGATAAGCGACGACTCTCGAATCAGATTTCTAACATGTTCCACGTCTCGAGGAAGCTTGCAGCTTCTGCACAGCACGAGAGTTACGTCATTCCAATACCAAAAACCGATTGACAAGCGACCTCACTCGTCTCTGAAGACCAGTGGAAGTCCCCGAGCAGAATCCGCCCTTGCAACGCACGATCAAGACCAAAGCTCCATTCAATATGCACTGTCCGTACTATCAAAAACCTTCGTTCCCTTCCTACCAGCCCCGTCTGACTGAGATGCGTAGAGGATCACCCTGGACCAGGTCGCCAACTGGGCTCTTCAGGGCTCCTTGTGGCCCATGACCTTCGGCCTGGCGTGCTGTGCCGTGGGAATGTTGCATGCGGCCGGTCCTCGTTACGATATAGAACGCCTGGGGATGCTGTTCAGGGCCTCTCCTCGACAGGCGTATCTTCTGATCGTCGCCGGCACAAAATGGCGCCAGCGTTCTGACAGGTATACGATCAAATGACCGAACCACGATTTGTGATCATTATGGGAAACTGCGCGAATGGGGGTGGGTATTATCACTCTAGTTACTCCGTGGTCCGAGGCTGCGATCGGATTCTTATGTATATGTACCAGGATGTGAGTGCTATCCTCCGCGGGCTAGAGCTTCCCTGAAGGACCTGCCGATGACTGATGACCCTATAGGTCCGCCAATGGCCGGAGCATTGTTGTATGGGATTTCTTTAGTAAAAAAAAAATTCGGCATAGAAAATTGACTCGGATGTGGTCTATCAGCTTCCTATGGATATGCTCCTTACCCACCGGGTTCCTCGACCTCCTGCGGCACCGGTGGTGGATTGCCGGGTGGGGGCGACAGGTGTTCCAGACGGTGTAAGACATCCTCAAGGCCGAGGAGGAGGAGGAGGAGGAGGAGGAGGAGGAGGAGGAAGAGTGGCGGGTGGCGTTGAGGTGGGTTTGGGGAGAGATTGAGGAGGAGTGAGTCGTACTACATTAAGCTAAGCTTACTCACAGCTAACCTCACAGCTAGAGAGTTGGGTAGTGTTGTTCTTCAGTGAGCCATAAGACCATACGATCTTATACATGTGCATATTGATAATAGCGTCAATAACCCCCCCCCCTCCACCCTCGCAACCAATAATCCCAGTGGTCCACTACTGGGAAGAATCCGCCCCCTCAGCCCGCAAAACCACCACCCCATCCACCGCCCGCAGTTCCTCGACTGCTTTCTCGGAGAGACTGCAACCCGAAGTTGAAAAAATAAGCAATCTCGTTTCGAATCGATCCTGGCTCCTTTCCCCACCGGTGGTTTCATAGACTCAACGATTTTCAGTTCGAAACTTACGTCAAGAAGTGAGTCGGGGGGATATTCCGCGTACTGGCCCAGATGTCGGAGCCGGTGTCTGCTTGGATAATCCTGTAGTCTGTTGGTTCTTTTGGTTGAGACACAAGATAAGGGCCATCCAGCCAGCACAGGCTGGTACCTAGGCTTACGTCTTCACCTGATTGCGGGTCTCCTCCGTGCCGAATCCCATGTCGTCGGCGTAGCGGAATTGGACGGACTGGTTTGGGAATTTAGATATGCGATATGTTGGTGCCGAGGATCCGGCAGGGATTAACCAGGCTTACTTACCATGCTTCGGGTGGACATCTCGAATGAGGGTTCTGTGGGGCTGTTGATGGGGTTCGAATGATGTATGAATTGTTTTTGAGGATGGAAGTAAGGTGCAGTTCAGGTTTTAATTGTTGGTGGTGGTGGTGGTGGTTGTTCCGAGGCTAAAACTGATAAATACAATGATCAGCGTGATAATTACCGCTTGTGGAACCCACGCTACTTATCATCCATGATGGGTATTCTCACTATGTACATGATCGACGTGTACTCTGTTTCGCACTCGATCGAAAGAGATCTAGTATATCACTTTGATATCGGCGATCTGCCCGTCGAATAAGGTAGCCAACAACTTGTCCAGCAATACTATGGGATATCCTCTCCATGCTCGATGCAGCCCCGATATAATATTCAATTCCTACTCGCGCACAGACAATTCATGAATACCTAGAATGCGTAAACACGTCAAACAACATAAAGTACATATATATGTGCAGAGCTATCTCATAGCTAGATTGTCATCTCATCATATCGTCCATCTATACATAATGACATCCATCCTTCCCTCAAACATGCAATTTCGGGTTCGCCAAATCCAACTCAAACGCACGAGCCCAATTTTATAGCACCAAGCTAAGCGCCGATCTGTCTCCTTCTCATGCCAACCTGCAGCCCAAGGGGCTTACGTAGGAAGCCCTCGCGGCTCTCCATGGGTCCATCCTGCTGCATCTCGAACTCGAACAAGCGGAACACGGTACCGCAGATAGTGAGAAGCTCCATTTCAGCAACGTTGCGACCAACGCAGGCACGGGGACCGGTGCTGAAGGGAATGAACGCGGCCTTCTGGCGGGCAGTGAGACGGGCAGGGTCCCAACGCTCGGGGACAAAGTCGTCGGCGTCAGGGCCCCAGATCTCCTTGGAGTGGTGGATAGTGTAGCTCGGCACAGAGACAATGTCGCCGGGGTAGAAGGTGTGGCCGGAGATAGTGACGGGAGGGTTGCCAGCGGGAATTTCACGGGGAAGACCCATCGCCGAGGTGCTGTGGATACGCATGGTCTCCCAGATGACCCATTGCAAGCTGTGCGGTAGTTAGGGCTTGTAAACGACAACGATAAGAGGGAGAAAACGTACTAAGGAATTTCCTTGACCATAGCGTGAGTAGGCACCTCGATGTCCTTGGGAATAGCCTCATCGAGAACCTTGTGGAGCTTCTCAATCACACCAGGGGTGCGCATGCACCAGTATAGGATAGCACAGGAGGTATTGGAGGTAGTATCAGAACCGGCAATCAACTGGGTCAGGGCCTCGGCTGTCAACTCTTCGCGACCAAGCTTGTTACCATTCCCGTCCTTTCCTTCCATAAGACGAGCAAGGAGATCCACACGAGTGTTGTTGGCCATCACCTCAGGACGCAGACGCTCGTTGACTCGAGCGACAGCAATACCAGCCAGGTTCTCAATAGCTTCCATACCATCCCTGAAGAAGCGGTCGGGAAGGTACTTGGCAAACGGCTTCAGCGCGGGGTAACAGCCGAGGGTGGCGGACACTTCACCACGACGGTTGAGCACCTCAACAGCCTGGACATAGGAAGGAGGAGAATCCGGAGTCTTGCGCATCTCAGCGATATCCTGCTCCTTCTCAAGCATACCAAAGGGAGCACCGAAAGCAAGATCTCCGATGATATCGAAAGCCAGATAGTTGAACCAGTTGAGGGCATCGAGACTGGCATAGCCGGTGCGAGGGTCGCGCCGGGTGTTGGCCATGTTCGTCCACTTCTTAACGAAAAGCTCAATGTTTCCGTGGATGTACTGCTCGAACTGGCCGATAGACTTCATACTGAAAGTGTGCGAGACGGTCTTGCGCTTGCGGGTGTGCTCCGCACGGTCGCGAGTGTTGAACAGACCACGACGGATGGAAACAAAGGCATCGTAAAAGTCCCTGTATTACTTGCATGAGCCAGATCCCATATGAATATATTTCAGACAACGTACGCCTTCAAGAAACCATTTCCGTGACCGTAAACAGCCTGGATCGCGTTGTCATCGGCGATGGAGACATGGCGGGGCGCGATGCGGACGAGTTTGCCATAGCGTTTGTGGGCATCATCGACAACGAGAAAACGGGACCCGCGACGGGTTTGGAGGAGGAGCCAGAAGTTGGAGAAGGCAGCGAAGCCAGGAGAAGGGATATCACGTAGACGCCAGACTTGTAAGTAGGGGACGAGATAGTAGATGGCCACCAAGCCCAAGAAAAGGTAAGGGGTGGCCTGCAGCGAGAGCAGGTCGGCAAACATGGCGGCCGACCGGTCTGATTGGATATTCGACGAAAATCCGGGGTAATAGAGTGAACTGAGGGGGAGTGGACTGACACCTAGTTAGTCTAATTCCTAACAGGTTGTGAGGGAAGAATGACAGCCGATCTCAACTGCCGAAGGAACGGAATGGGAATCCCTGGCCGGAATTCCCAGCATTGACTTGGGCACACGCTCACTTACCTCGCGAAGACTCCCGGTATTGTCCCTAATCGAAAGACAAAATCTTATGGAATAAGCATCAAAGAATCAAAGATAAGAAGGAAGGACTGAAGTGTTGATCAGTGGTGTTGACAGATGATTGATAGAGGGTTGACCGAAGGGTCTGGGATTTAAAAGGGAAAGGAGGGACAACTTTCCCCGAGGCTATCAAAACCAGCCGGGAGATAAATCGGGATTGGCAGCCCGGACTCGACTACTGTGGCTGGCACTGGCTGCCTCTCCCCAGCCGATCTCCAACCCCGACTCTACATTTCCTCCCCGCTCAACTCTCGGGTATCACGGTTATTCCTTTGTGGGGGAACAGGATCAGCCCCGTTAATCGTCGATCCAGGGATAGATTGAAGTCTATTTCATGCAATGGGGATGCACAAACCAGTCAGAATTGAGATGAACGTCAGTCTCCCAGATGGGGTCTACCAATGAGATCGAGCTCGTTGCATATTGCTTCATTGGGAACTCGTGTCCTATATCCATGATTTTGGAAACCTCCTACTACTACTAGGTACTACTATGTATGTACAAGTCCGGAGTCCAATGAGATTATGTACAGTAATGCTACCCGTGCGTCACCACCGCTCGCCTTTGACCTGGTACAGGCCACTCTTCCGTTTCTCCGCCTCCCATCGCTCAGCCCACGCCTTCATGCGCTCACGACTCTTCTGACTGCCCACATTCACGGTCGGGATGACCCGTCCGATCCGAAGGGCGCAGCAGAACATGGTCAGTTCCCGGAACGAGCTGTGCTCGCTATACGGCACCCCAAAACACGCACTTTCCCGCGTGCTGCCCCGTTGGGGCACGAGGTCGCGTGCCGAAAACGGTGTCTGCCAATGTGCCGAATGAAGCACCGTCGACACAGGAGGGTTATCCAGCATACGTCCCGCGGGCGGTCGGTACGTCCACCCGGTCGGTCGAAAGCCCACCACTTTCGTGAAGTGCGGCTTCAACGTGTCCAAATAGTCAGCCAGCGTCTCCGCTCGAATCTCAAACAAGGTCTGCATATGCACTTGTGCCTCGCGTGGATTATCCGTCAACAGCGCTGACAGCTCTGGGTCCTCCAGGCAGGCGCAGATCCGCTGTTTGGCTGGGGTGGCGAAAATTTTGCTCTTCAGAGCACGCGCGATTCCCAGACAGATACGTTCTTTCCCAATGCTATAGGTCCCTATTACCACCAGCAATCGACCACTTGAGCTCGATGTCGAAGACTGCGACCCCGAAGAGCCTGTCACTTTGGAAACGAACTTGCTCATCAACCCTCCCCCGATCCCAGGCGAGCGACCTGATGAGCCGAAAGCAAGCCCGCTACTTTTCTGCTGCCCCTCGTTCAGCTCCACGCAAAGATCGGCACAAGCCTGTATGACATCTTCCTGGCTTGGAAAGGCATATTTGGGGCTCAAATACGTGGTGTCTAGGTAGCAAGCATCTATGTGTTGCTGACGACGCTGACCTGTGGTGGGATCGACAACCTCCGGGCGCAAGAGTGCATGCTGCACATGGAGCGGCGAGGCGCGAAAATCTCCGCAATGAAGCACCCGATGCGTTCGTTTCGATGGGCCAGATCCCATGGCCTTTTCAAAAAGAAAGATGGCACTTCCTGGACAATGGTTCGCTTCGATGATTGTCACATGTGCTCCGCCCGTGCCAGGGATCTCCGTCCTCTTCTCAAACTCGAGTGGCACCAACCATTTACGATTGACTTTCAACTGCTGGCACACGAGATTGGCTGTCGCACGACTGCAGTAAATTGGACCGTGTCGCCATGAACCCGTAAGGCCAATGTAGTGGTCACTATGAAAGTGACTCAGAAAGTAAGCATTGCAGCCCTCGACAGCACCGTAGCGAAACGCGTCCACACATATTGAGAACCCGGGCATGATTTTGTAGAACGGACAGGTCCGTTGATATGCCTGCTTGCCTCTGGATGCCACTTCATTGGCTGCTGCTGCTGCCCAGGCGCTATCCTCCGCATTTCCAGCCATGAGCTTAGAGAAGGCTGACCTCGCCTCGGCCTCGCCGGAAGCGTAAGGATCACGTTGTGCGGGGCGAGCAATCGCTGCCCGGTCCGAACGAGTCAGTGCTTTCGATGGTGGTTCGGGTTCAAGCTTGATTTCGGGATCTGGTTCGATCTCAGGCTCAGACTTGACTGTAGGATCGGACCTTGGCTGTACTGTACTAGGCTTGCCATCTAAGCAGTCATTGACGTGCACCGAGACATCCTGAGCAAAACATCTGTTACCATACCACCTATGCAATTCGTAGTCGGACCAACTTACAGCTTCATTCAGACCAGTCAAACTAGTCTGACAGATCGGACAAATGGGCACTTCACAGCCAAACGTATTTCCGTCGTCATCCGCGCCATTACTATAGTCCTCCAATCCAATCAACACCTCCTTCTCTTTATTATCATATTCGTCGTCAACATCATCTTCGAAGGCATCTAAGAAATTCTCTTCCCCTCGGAACTCGTCTTCCATATCGTCAAAATTCGTATATTCATCAGGTTCGGTGTAGCTCGTGGTTTCTCTTACCAAGGATGGTGGTGTCTCGACAGCGGGCGTCGGTCGTGTTTTAGCTGTGGGATCTGCTTCCTCGGCGTCGACGGGCGATTCTGTCGCATTGGCAGTGGGCTTGTCTATTAATGCGACTGATGGCTCATCCGCGTAATCACGGAACTTCTCCAGATCCTCGTCCTCCTCGCTATCGGATTCGTCGATGAAAGGTCCACTAAGGTGACGGGATTTCTTCGCGGGCGCCGCTACCCCGGTAGCGTCGGCATCGGACGACTTCGCTCGTGCTGCTGCTGCGTCATCGCCGGCAGCGGACGGGGAATCAAGCTTGCGTTTCTTGACGCCGGAGGATCCGTTCTCATTGTAGCGGTCTTCCTCGGTCGCCGCTGTCGCTGGCGCCGGCGTTTCCGGCTCGCCTTCCCAGATATCGTCGGGAGTCCTCGACCGTGCTGTCCGCTGCGGCTCGGGGGCTGCGTAGGTCGCGGATCGGTTCCGGTTTTTGTCCTCGAGGAATAGATCGCCTGCGCCGTTGCTGACTGTGGAACTCCCTTGTCTGCGCAGCGTCGGTGTACTGCTGTGGCCATTGCTGGTCGGCCGGGCGGTCTTGGTGGCAAATTGAGTGATCCGGGGTTGGGTGGAGGTGGCTTTGGGCGGTCCGTCGGCTTTTTGGAAGAAGTTCAGCAGACTGCCGTTGCGCTTCGCGGGGGTCTGAGATTTGGCGCCGAAGGGGACCTTGGCTGGTGTTGAGCCTTTTCTGGTGGCGGATCCTGCCATGCTGCTGTCGGTCCCTCGAAGATGCGAAAGGGTCTATCGAGAGGGAGGTGTGGTACGGTTATTGGGTCAAGGATATGTCAATTGGCATGTTCACATATCCGAGGTATGGAATAGAGTATAGATTTAGATATATAAGGAGATCTGTTGCATTATCTAGCAAACAGGAATGACTGTAGGTTGAAGCTCAAGGACGGAAAGCGGAAGCTGAAGGCGCGGCGCGGCGGGATCTCGCCCTTGACGATTTTCACGACACGAAGTCACGTGCATTCAACCCATTAAATGATGGCTTTAACTGTCTCAATGATGTCAATCATGGGTGGACAAAGAATCAATAGATTTAACTGAATTCATATTCAGATTGGACTATGTGTGTGATGTTCAATTCTCATTACATGTCCTTCAATCAGAACAGCTCAATTAGTACAAGATACTCTAATCTACGATATTCCTCCCTTGGTCATGCCTGAGTTTCAGTAATGCGGGGTCACCCTCCTGCTGTGCATAAGACCTGTATGTAAGCAGTGCGACTTTAGTCCTGCATAATTAATGTCTTCGCTCCTAAGCGGAGAATGACCGCCGAGTATGCTAGGGTTAGAGGTTAAAGGGATTCGATCGAATATAGATGTTGACTTGAAGAGCCAAGAGCATAGGTCCCCAAGTATAGTGCTGAGGTTGGGCGTATGGCCGCTGTGTGGCTGGCCTGTGCCCTGCCCGCGTCAATGCCTGTAAGCTCACCCCAAACATGGTTGAAGGAAGAGATATATTCGAAGATAAAGTCAACCCGACATTCATCTCCCATGACCGTATCACCCCGTCCGCATTCCCTTCTTAGTCAACGTATCATCATTACCGTTGCCTCCCAGCCTAGGGCTACCCCAACCCGATCCTCGTCACCACCATACACACCGCAATATCAGCTCCATCACCAGGCCAGCATGCATAAAGCACAAAGCACTCTATCTCCCACGAAACAATGCAGCATGACATCATGATAGAATTATAAAAAGAGAAACGTAAAAAAAAGTGTAGACCGTGCCATAACATGATGCGCCCTTTAGGACAGGGGCCAAAGCATAAAGCCCGGAGGATATGTCCTCTCGAGGTCCGATATCAATCCAGATCCTCCCAATTCCGCTTCGAATCCTCCCACTGTCGCTCAAGTCATCTCTCTCATCTGTCCCGCTTATTTGGCCTTCCCAGCCTGGTTCGCAGCTTCTGTATCAGCGGGCAAAGAGCATTAGCGCACTATTCAATGAAACTCGGATCGATATGTCTGCCTCTCCAGCATTCTCGGTTCGGAGGCGTGATGGTGTCCCCTTCTCGAGAAGCTCCCGCAAGACAGTTATAGAGGGAAAAACTCACCCCGCCTCGTCGCATCCTCCAACAGTCCAATATCCACCTCCGACCGCGGCAACATCACGTAGCGCACCACACTACCCCGAATGAACATGTTCTTGACCGACGACAGGTGCGGGTATTTGTCCAGGTCGAGGACATCGACATTGTCGAGCTTGATGTTCAGGTATTGGTCGACGGATTTGAGGGTACCGCGGATGCGGATGTCGTTTTTCAGCTCGATGGTGACGGTCTGGTTGGTGAGGGTTTTGAAGAAACTGTTTTGGGGCTTGGCGTTAGTAACTTATAAACGTGATAGGCAGAGTGGTGGGGGTATGAAAGGTGCGCAGCGGTGCGCAGGAGCCATTTACCTGAAGAAGAGCATGATTGCGGTCGACTAGCTTGTCTGTCTTGCGTGTGGGGGAGGGGGGTGTTCGGCGTAATTTATCGGGGGTCAATTCAGCATCTGAGGAAGCAATCTGGGTCGCTACCAAAAGGAGAAAGGGGTAGGAGAAAAACAGAAGCTCTTCCGGGAGCTTTGAGATAAGGCAGAAGAAGAAAGAATCGAGTTATGAACGAATTGTATAAGTCCTGTGCGGGTAAGTTGATTGATACTGTCGGGTGTTTCTGCGATTATCAGAGCCGACACGTGAGGCAGCTATCGCTTCGATGACTCATTTCTTAGTAAGCCTAGATGCTCCACCAGCGCCTCCATACATCTTACTTTCTATACAATCACTTGAATGGAGTGTACTTGTCGAACAAGCCATGCATATTCGAAGACTGGGCTGCTTGCTCAATTTCTTTGGTTTATTAGAGGGTATGTGGTTGTGATGGATATTTGAAAATTGTTCAAGCCCAACCGCGGCCTCCCAACATATAATATGTAGTGACCTCAACCTTTTTTCCAAAGCATGCTCTTGCACTAGACAAATCTGATATGTGTCCAAACAGGCAACCAGTATTAAATGCACAGCATGCCAAACGTGGCTGATTTAGTAGCATTTACAGAGTGTATTACACACCTTCATCCTTCGTCGCTTGACAGCGTCATGGCCGAGAGAAACCCCACGGGAACCTGCTCAACCAGACCATACCCAGAGATCATTCGACCCTCTCCATCAAAACCATTGACCCGAATATAACCCTCGTATGTAGGCGAAAGCCCCGTTGCATCACAAAGCTCCTGGTCGGGTCGCACGCTTGAGATCGACAGCGTAGTTCCATCCCAGAGGGTAACCACCCAGTCCAGGGGGTAAGTGGCCTTCGAAACCGGCGAGGTCCAGGTTCTCTGAGATGGGACAAACGCAGTGACAGGCAGGACCTGTTGAATGCCCGGGCGGTGGCGGGCCGTCGCAAACTGCGTACGGCGGTGGTCGGTGGTGTCCCACACCCAGATCGACACTTTGTCGGCTCTGCCGGAGGGTGCGTTGTAGTTGTGGGAGTTGTCGTCAAGGTGCACTTCAAACCACGTCCAATTGGCCTTATTGGCCACCTTCGCCAGTATATTTGGCCACATTAACTGCCGGTCGTACCAGGTTAGGGACCGTGTAGGATCAATGGTCAGTCGAGACCCGTTGACGACGAAGCTGCCCAGCGTGAGACCGGCAGGCATGGACCATTCGTGGGTCAACTCGGAGCCCCATTGGAACAGACCGGTGCCGCCGTTGAGTATCACGGGCGTAGAGAGATGGAATCGTATGTCGAACTCCACGCCCTCGACGGCACTCCAGGTGCGTAGTTCCTGAAGTGGATCGTCGTCATTTGTCGTGTGGAAGCCATACTGCTCAAAGGTGATGTTGAGATTCCCACCACTACTCATACCTGGATCTTTTGGGGGGGCAGTTGCGAAACGCTCGAATTGGCGATAAAAGCTCGGGTCGGTGATATCAAGGATGGAGCCCCGGTACAAGCCAGCGTTCATCAGCAAACATTGGGAGACGATCAAGTAATCATGGTTGTTAGATGCATGAACGTAGGAGGATGACCACCATGAGTTTGTTGTATTAGGGACAAAGCTGTTGGATGTTGAAAGGTTCTGGATCATAGGCAGGGGTAGATTCTGTCGACGGTCCTGGAGTCAGTTAAAGAGCACTAGTGCTTCGTGCCTACCAGCATACCAGAGTTTCTTCCAGTAAACCGCCTGTTTCGGCCCTAAACCCCAGGACTCCTGGAATGATAATTGCGAGCACTGTGGACTTCATTGCCATCGAATTCTGGAAAGCGTGCAATGCTTATGTCGAAGACGTGTCCAAAATTGGAATAGAGTTCGAGAAAGCCATGACAGGTATATATGAATCCTTATGGGGAAGTTACGCAGAAAGGCCACCGGCATGCAGTGATACACAACGGGACTTCTATTCTCCATCGCCAACCGGGGTAAACCCGGGAATGGTAATAGAAGATCGCAGGCAACATGGCGTGTACTCCCAACGGCGAGTATATTCACCAACCACCAGTAAGCCCCTGCAGTCTCCCACGCTGGCTCTTGTCCCTCATGGAAGCACCAAACACCTCGCCAAGTGACACTGTATCATATTGCCAGGGACCGTGCTGGTAGGTGTGAAGAGCGTGCACCCGAGATCTCCATAAACGTTGATAGCAGTCCTTATCGCAGCGTTTCCTTGTCCGGACTCACCTGTGTCTCAGTCACACTGCTGGTCCTAGCGCCTAGACAACACAGGGAGTAACATGCATGGAAATAACCCAGATCGGCAGGATGCGCAAATTTGGCTAATGAATGAAACAAATCCAGGCTTGCCCAAGGTGTTTCCTGTGATAAATTGCAGGCTTCTGCCTTCCCCCCCCCTCCTTGCGCCCCTCCTCTCCACTACAATCGTTTCCCTGAAGGTAGAGATTCCATCATGGGTCAAGGATACCAGCACTGAGCCTGACATCGATACTTGCAAATGTGAGTAAACATGGACCACTCTACTTGAACCGGAAAGGCGATGTTTTATTCAGACAATAAACTCACAGGGATGTAGTTCGCAGGACATAAAACATGACATCATCACAGCCCGGATGGTCTAGTGGTATGATTCGCGCTTCGGGTTCATCACTTGAATATGCGCGAGGTCCCGCGTTCGAATCGCGGTTCGGGCCCATTATCTTTTTTTTGTCCAGTCCCCATCCACTGAGCAAGTGGAAAAGGCATTCTCTCATCCTTTTTATCTGCCATCTTCTACTACCTAACCTCTCAGCTGCGAGACAGGCGCCCTTCCGAATAAGAATGGTTAAGCAAAATATGGTGATGAAACACCCATCGAGGTGCTGCCAACGCCACCAGTAAGGCAGGCGCTCCATTTCAATAATCAGGGCTTCAAAAGAGGTAGTCGATCCAGCAAACACAATAGTAATGTTTGATTTAGCCAAAAGCTAAAAAGAAATGTGGGCCCGAACCGCGATTCGAACGCGGGACCTCGCGCATATTCAAGTGATGAACCCGAAGCGCGAATCATACCACTAGACCATCCGGGCTATTGATATTGGTTTTATGAAACACCAATTGAGAAATTCCCGCCATCGCGCTGCGCCAACCTGCACCCTTTTCATTTCTCTCGCATCTACCATCTTCTTCCATGCAACGCAGCCCGGGCTGCTCATACTTCTAGTTCCCAGTCCACGGTACAAACAGATATCTCGCACTGCTTGCAAACGTCCTTAACATCTTGTTTTCATCATCGGCGATGGTCCTGAAAATGTCCGGCCAGTGCGCATCTAGATTGAGCACGCGCAGGGTTCCCGGGGAAGCATATATCCTTGGGGGCACAGCAGCTCAAGCAGAGAAGTCGTAATTATTATGCCTAGTACCCTAGCACGCCTACCTGTATACTCTACCGCTACCCACCTGATGTAGCGACCGTAGAGGATCTTGGTTCCAAGTATACGAGGATTGGAAGCCTCCGGAGAGGAGATTTTATTATTAAGGTGACCATCATCACTTCCTGTCAGTATGGCTATAGGCTAATTGTCAAACATCGCTTTGCAACTAGGACAGATAGAGTACCCATCCCAACATTCTCTTCACATCGAACCATCAACACGTCATACATAAGAAAGCACACCTGAGCTCACCATCGTCATGAGAGGTTCCAGGGGCACGGTTATTACATTAAGCTTCGCCGACCAGGGCAGATAGGGGGTATCAAGAAGGACGGATGAACCTCCCGGGTCTACATCCAAAACAAAGAGAAAGAATCACATGCAAGGGCTCTTCACCCCTCTGCCCTTCGGTTGACTACCACGACGTCTCTGGCGCCGTGGTTTCATCGCCCATCCGGATAAACAGGTCCAGCCTGCTTCGTTCTTGCGGCCCTCATCGAACACAGCGCCTACTCCTGCGAGTAGATTCTCCCGCTCGATTCCGATCTCTTGCTGCAGCTTGACACACCACTGTTCCCAAAGCCATCCGCCTAGTAGCCCCGTGATACTGGCAATGTCAGCAGTACTACCGACAGGACCGTGTATCGCTTCGTAATCCCCAGCAAGACTCTTGACTCTCGGATCCGGCGTCTCTCTGGGTGGCTCAGTCTTGGTGGGCTCGATCCCCATGGGTAGGAAAGCCCAGGCTCGCTTGATGTCGGTGAAGTGCTTCTGTACGCGTCCAAGCCAGCTTTTGGTCGGCACCGGATCATATCCTTGAGCCTGAAGATTGGCAACGAACTCCTCCGAGATGGCAGATCCCTGAGGACCAGCGTGTAAGATCTCAGCATCTAGAATGAAGTACTCCAGATAGCCACCGGGCTTGAGACAGCGAAGGCACTCTTTCAGGCACAGATCGTATTCGTCAAGGAGCTCTCCGCTCGGGCATTTTTTCTTCAGCAGAGCTGGCAACGAACGAGCTGAGATCACATCGAACTTGTTGTCGGGAAAAGGGAGCTTCCACAGTTTTGGAACAGAAACATGTCGGTGATTGGGAGGTCCTTTGATGCCGCGATTGACCTCCTGGGAGCCAGTGTAGACTGTTGTGACTTTGGCATCAGGATAATCATAGGCGAGTTGCCACGCCCATTCACACGACGCATGCCCTCCAAGATCCAGAACCCGAACACTGCATTGATTCGCATTTGTTGACATTTTTGGCGAACGGCTGGAGCCACGAAGCTTTCTTGATGCAGGGCTGACAAGCATGCGACCGCCATTGAGAAACCTCAGTGCATCCATAGCCCACATAGCCTGACGGATCTGCGACAGCACCAACTGCTCTTTCTCAACTATAGAGAATTGAGCTTTTTGCACCCGAGCCGAGTCGAGTGTCGAATTGCGAGGTGCCATCGAAAAGGGTCCTTTGTATGCAGGACGTTGATTAGGAATCAATTCGTACTTTCCCGTCAAACAGTCAACGTGTAAACCGGGCATACCGACACGAACAGACTGGACAGCATCAAAGCGAGCGTGTTGATGTACATGAATATCCTTTATGCTGGATTGGTCGCGCAGAGCTTGGAACCCTCTCCAGTAAATCGAATCCTTACTTGCCAAAGCGGAAGGTTGCGAACTGGGGGCAGCGGGAAGAACTCCAGTGAATTTGGCCGATCTCTTGCGGGCAAGAGAGCTTGGAGCTTGTTGACTAGGCTTCTGAGGAGCCTCAATCTCGCTGCCAGTTTCCTTGTCGATGGAATTGGCGGGGTTCGTCTCGTTCAAGGCTGCTAGGTAAGAAGCTTGAGCTGCCAGCCAAACACTGGTTCTATCCAAGCCTGACATCGCTTTCTTCTTGAGTTCAGCTTCATAGTCTTCATCTCGCTCGGCTTGATCTGACACGGGCATCTGATTGTGGTTCATCTCCTCAACAACCGTACTCACAGGGCTCCTCAGCGTGCCAAGAGGCTCAATGGCATACTCCGCGGGAATTCTAATAGCAGTTGGTGGACCGCTTGGATCATATACTGCTGTTAGCTCCTCGTCCGTCGCTCTTTCCGGATAATCAATGACCTGCTCAACAATCTCTCCCTCAGTGCGGGTAAAAGGTAGCTTGTAGAACCTTTCAGCAGTGGCAGAGTTGGGTGGTTTGTTTCCGTTCGGGATCGCCCAGGTATGGCGGGCACGTGGGGCTAACGAAGCAAAGAAGCCACCTGGAGACGGAATGCTCAACCTGCTGAAGCTATAACCGGAAAGCTCAGAAGCAGGAGTTACACCGTCAGCACTACGAGGGCGTTGAGGCGGAGTCTCAACTTGCCACATCTCGTCATTGCTATCGGATGATTCGGCCCAAGGATCTGGCACTCTATTGAGTGACAGGTGCCGTAAAGTTTCCAAGGCATCTTCGGGAAGATGTACTCCTGTGTCCGACGGCGTACCTTCCCGCACCAACTCCGGTTCCATGTCCATATCGAAGGCAGGCGGCGTCACTTGACCGGGGATGCGAGGAAACCGGCCCAAGACTTGAGCTAAATCTTCGCTAGCAGCATCGAAGGCGATCTCAATGCTCTGCACATCTGGATCTGCATCGAGTGCGGGGATGTCAACGTCTTCCACATCTTCCAAGTCTGGTCGAACATGAACTCCTGGCACGACCCAGTCCTGATCAGGGATTGACTGCAAATCTGGAGTAGCCGGAGCGCTCAGATTCGATACCTGGTCCGAGGATATACTTCCGTCCAAAGAGGGTGGAGCATGCACGGCAGGAACAGAACGACCAAGCATTGACAGAGCTGCCGGAGAAACTGGTATCTTTGAAGGTGGCGTGGGAGGAATGGGGGAGCTTTTGCAAGCACCTTGCAATGATGGCCACACTGGCGAAGGTGGAATGGCCAAACTCGGATAGCGCTTACGAGAAATTGGCGATAGCATGGAATTTCGCGTCGTTGGAGTTGTCAAACTTGTCGGCCGAGTGCTGGCAAATGAAGTACACTCGTCACTCGTTACCGACTCCTCGTCTGTGGCGTCGTAGAGGTCTTCAAAGGGTTTCATCTGCTGTTGCCACTCCGTGTCCGAGCAGGATGACACAGAACCGGCAGATATCGGTGAGAAGAATCGATTCGGCCTCAGAAACCCTGACACTAGGCCGCTCGTCTTCAACTTCAGTCGGGGGATTGTTGCAGGTTTCTGAGAAGCGGATGCGACCTGCTCCTTCTGTATCGAGTATTGTGTTTCGCGATAGTCCTCAGGTATAGTATCGAGTCGAGTCCCCCGGACCTGCCGTAGGGGTGGACAACCTGAGGCGCTAGAGTACTGCATGTCGGCCATGATGCTCAAAGCAGTGAGATATGCTCCCAGGTTCTAAGGTTTCAATTACAGTAGGTGGTGCGAAGACAAGATCAAGGCTAATACCAAACCAGCAACTCCAAAAGAGCCTTCTATGGGTATCTCAGCTGCGTTCAACACCGATCAACAGGTCGACGAGTACGTGATTAATGACAGGAGCGCTTGACGGCCCAGCTTCCAGAGCTAAAGGCACGAGCAAACGATGCAAAAAGAAAGGAAAAAACGAAGCTATAGCCAAAGAGACAAGAAAAGGTTAGGTGAAGATCACCATCTTCGATCGGTAGCGCAGGACACTGATAAATAGACCACCGAAAGGAGGGGAAGGCGAGAAATCGGACGCGGTGACCTTCACCCCTGCCACCCAAGATGCAGGAACTACTGCATCATTGTGCACAAAGCACCTAGAATACCTGCAGGTAGGCAGCCTGAAGATACTATCATTGGTGCTGGTCGAGTCGGCGCTTCGGCAAGGACGAATCTCAGTGGGCGACCATCTGTGATGGGCGACAACAGAATGGTCTGGGAGCTTCATTGTGCCAATCAGATGGTGCAAGGTTCTTGATGCCCGCACAGAATGACTGTCGGCGAACAGGAGCTCTGGAGTGGTGAGGGGAGCTTCGCATGATTGGCGGGTTGTAAGCGCCCGGGGAGGCTATCTTTAGAAAGGAAGCTCCGGACTATGGTGAGAATAGTCGGAGTTCGCTTCAAGCGATCAGTGTCTTCAGCAGACCCGCATTTAATGAACTCGTGATGACATCCAAGACTTGAGAACTGCGAAGGATATTATGATTCCGCCGAGCGTCAACTCAAAAGGGAAGACTATAAGAAGTATTCCGTTCTAACTGAATCCTCTAGGCTGGGCTTGACGCCCTTCTGAGGAGCCCTGTCGTCCGACCTATCAGGCATCGCAACGCACAATGGAAAACACGACATCTCCACCCAGGCGAGAAGAACAAGGAAGATCCTGGCTCGGGCAGTTGAGCAGGAAGCGCTGGGGAGTCACCCGACCGACATTGTTGAAGGGAAGATGGAGATGACGAAGTGGCATTTGGAGAAGGAGAAGAGAGGGAAGTATGGAGCAACTAATCGGGCCCCGTCCGACACCTTTCCTAATTTGGAGCCTGACAGTTGAGTCCATCAAGCTCAGGCAGTCAGGCAGTCAGGCAGTCAGGCCTCGACCTGGCTGCAAGCTGGCCTACCCAGTAGTCTGCCACGTGTAAACTTTTGCCCTAGCCCTTATCGGCGTGATATCATTCCCAATCGGGCTCCCCGGACTGACGTCGACCGGAGCAGGGAAGATGATATCAACGACCACCGACAATTTTTGCCCGGATGGAGCTGGTTGATCCCCCACGGAATTCGTCCTCGAGTAATGGCCAGTTTATCCACACGGTCTTTTCCCTTTCTTGCCGAAGGCTGTCAGAAAGTTCCAGCATTGATCCAATCGATCGCTAGTAATCTGTCATAATTCCGCTTTATCTCTTGTAGAAGTGACAGAAAAATAAGTACATCTAAAGCTAGCCCCTCTCCTTCCCCCCCACACCTCCCCTCATACTATTTCCCCTCCTCCTTGTATACCGTACGATTCTTAAACCTCTTTCTTACCCACCTCTCTCTTTCCCCCCTCTCTACTACCACCCCCTCCATCCAATTGACCGATCCCAATCAACAACCACCATGTGTCCCCCCGCGATCATTGCCCCCTCCATTCTGAGCGCCGACTTCGGCACCCTGGGCAGCGAATGCTCAACCAAGATCGCCCAGGGCGCCGACTGGTTGCACGTCGACATCATGGACGGCCACTTCGTTCCCAACATCACCTTCGGGGCCCCTGTTGTTTCTGCGATCCGATCCCATGTCGCCCGTCCCACGGAAGCTCACGGCAAGGGAACATTTGACTGCCACATGATGATTGCGGAGGTGAGTCAGTTGAGTTTGTGGAATCAACCTATCCCCAAAACACCTTGCCAAAGGAGCAAAACAATCAGCCCCCCCTAAACAGCCCTACTTACCCTTCCTCCCCTCGAACGCAAATCAAGATCATCCCATCACTAACATCTACCCCGAAAATACAGCCCCACAAATGGGTCAAAGAGTTCCAAAAGGCCGGCTGCGACCTCTACTGCTTCCACTACGAAGCCGCCGTCTCCTCCGTCGCGGCCACCGAACCCGCCGACAAGACCACCACCCGCCACACCTCCCCCAAGGAGCTGATCCGCTACATCCACGAGCAAGGCATGCAGGCCGGCATCGCCATCAAGCCCGATACCCCCGTGGATGTGCTCTGGGAGATTCTGGAGACGGAGGATGCGAAGGAGAAGCCCGATGTGCGTTGGTCCCTTACCCTACTACCCTGTCTACCCTTTGCATCTTTTGAGACGCCCCCTCCACCATAAACTATCAAACCCTTCAAACTCCCTTTCCCTCCTCCCTCCCTCCAACAACCCCACCCCCCTCACCTACCCTAAATCATCCACCTGAAACTAACCCCAAAATAAAAAACAGATGGTCCTCGTAATGACCGTCCACCCGGGCTTCGGCGGCCAGAAGTTCATGGCCTCGGAGCTGCCCAAGGTCAAGGCCCTGCGGGAACGCTATCCGGACCTCAACATCGAGGTCGACGGCGGGTTGGGCGTGGGCACGATCGACCAGGCGGCCGAGGCGGGCGCCAATGTCATCGTCGCGGGGTCGGCGGTCTTCGGCGCCCAGGATCCGGCCGACGTCATCGAGAAGCTGCGCCAGGCGGTGAACAAGTATAGGAAAGAAGAAGAGTAAATATTACCTTACACCCCCCCTCCCCATGTGTGGAAATAGAAGTCATTTGGAACTCTTCATGTTTATCTGTGTGTGGATATACCATTAGCATAATGTTTCTTCTCTTGTTCAAATGGGGTTTCCAGTGTCTAATTGTTTATTTATTTTTTTCTGAGTATTTTAGCTCTCTTGCTGGATCCCGTCGCAGTATGCTTTGACCCGGACATATGGAAGTAAATAGTCGAGAGTTCTAGAGCTACGGTGTGAAGGTCCGGAGACATGCAACTGATGACCATCCGCAATTTCTGTCGATGATAACGACGATACAATGTCAAACATACAAATATCCTAATAAGAAAGGCTAAACAATAAGAAGAGAATAAAGTCTGGTATCTGTACATGGTATGTAAAAGTTTCAAGCGATCATGCGTAAGGTGACACATGCACAAAGGCGGGAGCTAAAATGATATCGTCCTGCGACAGAAACCCACAAATAAACATTCGCTTGGTCTAGTGGCTATCCTTGGTGGTTTCCGCCGTCGCCGATGCCGCCTCTTTCTGCTCGCCAACCTCGGGCTCTTCCTCGATGGTCTCTTCTTGGTTGGCTCCGGCCGCAACATCCTCACGCAGAGAGTTCAGCAGCTCCTGGTGGCCACCGGAGATGGACTTGCGCAGATCATGGGCGACCTTGGCCTGCTCCTCGGGAGAGGTGGCCGAGACAATCGACCCCCGATGGTGCTCGACCACAGCGGCATCCGCGCGAATGTTGGCAGATGACTCTGCGGCCAACTCGGGAACTACCAACGGCGGTCGCTTGGGTTTAGTCTCCTCAGTGGCGGGTATCTCGATAGCCTCAGTTCCAGTTGCAGTGTCTTCCTTCCCAGCAGGAGTGTCCACGCTCGTCGTCGCAGTAGGCTCGGTCGGCTTCTGCTCGGCAGCAGCAGCAGCTGGAACGTTGCTGCTGTTGATCTTAGTATTGTTCTTCGCGTCGCCGTTCTTGGGGTGACCCTTGGCCTTGGCAGCAGCTTCCTCACTGGCCAGGCGCATGGCAGCCGTGGCAGACTCGTCCTTCGGAGTCTCCTTTGCAGGGGGGCTCTGAATCTTGATGGTGCTTTGTTTCACGGCGGGAGTTTCGGTGGTAGGTGTAGAGACGGTGGGAGTGGTGGATTCGGATTGCGCGACCGTGCCAGAGGCGAAGATGCTATCCATGGGTTGGACATTGTTGATCTGCATTCTGAGCTCGCCATATTCGTTCCAGTCTTCGACCTCTTCTAGATCCTATAGTATGAGATGATTAGTCTTCAGTCGGTCGTGTGTTGCAGATGGATGGGAGAGGGGGCAAAGAGGGGGAGGCGCGTAATGCCCGCCACCCCCCGCGGTGGCCAGAAGCTATGCGGGGTACATACCCCAATAACGCTGCCAAATTTCACTAGGCCCGGCAGCTTCTTGCCCTTGGCGCGACGACCCCAGAGCTTGCGGGCTACATCGTTGGTTGCGACATCAATGGCCAGGAACGGTAGCTTGTTGGCTTTGAGAATCCGCTCCAGGGTTGCCGTTGCGGTGACGATGTGCGATGACCCCGCAGTAAGGGAGGTGAAGAGGTATAGATTGTTGTCGGAGTCTTCGAACATGATGGAGAGGAAAGCGAAAGTCGGGAAGGTCTGTTTTTAGGTACGCGTATCGAGAGAAGAGAGCTGAGCTGAGAGTATGGTGGTGGTGATGGTGGATGATGCTGAAGGGAAAGTTGCATAGGAGAAGAGAAAGATGATGATGATCGTTGCTGTCAATGAAGTGGAGGGTCCAGCTTGCCCGGTTTCCGCTTCTGGGACTGGACTGTCTCCGCTTTCCCTTTCTTCAAGGTTCTCTTTCCCCCCCTTTTACTCCAACAGCTGGACTCAAACGCAAACGCTTTCCCACCTCCGATCAAATTATTTTCCTTCTTTCACCGCCGCGGTACCGTACAAACCGAAAACTGAACCAAACTTGAAGGCTATTCCGATTTGCTATGACGTGGCTCAAAACTTGGCCCCTTTAACAAGATCACGTGGTGCTTTGGACCTTTCACCCTTTTTGTTCGAAGGAGGCCCCTTTTTCTTTTCAGGTTGTTTAGATCAAATAGATCAAAGAATTAATTCGAAACCGAAAAGGACAGATTAGACTATTTGTTGCGTGAACACCAACTAGTCGATCGATCGATCATATCAGTTCATCTATTTTGATGGAGAATAGCGCCCGGAAGAATTAGGAAGTCGGAGGTAGGAAAAAGAAGGCAAGGGATGCCCAGTCGACTATATATCGCAATTCGCATTCTGATTTAACCCACCCCCTCGAACTCAAGGCAAGCTTGGCCGATTGTGGGGGATCTGTCACCGTGTAGTGGCAAGTTGACGTCAGTCCGATGGCTTTCCGGACCGCCATCGGAACAAGAGCCATCAATCAACCACTTGCCGTAGGTTGTTTGGTGGTCGCGTCGCAGCGCTGAGAGCTCTCGCTCGAGTTGATATACTTTTTTATAATCGTCATCTGGCTTCATTGCCAATCTACAAGGTTACTTGTCTTATATATGAGTATATCGAGTGCGAACAAGTGCTGCCCCATCGTGCAAGAAGATGCCCCATCACTCCAGAGATTTCGCCCTTGATGTCATTCAGACCCATCACTGACTCCTCTGGTCACTGGTTGTCCGCTTTTTTGGTTACCCATGACTTCATATCCAATGACTGATCGTCGGTAGCTTTCAGCATGTGCATCTCATCATGCAAAGACTTCGAAGCAAATTACTGATTGTAAATGAATGCACTACTCGGTCTCGGGTAAAATCCAACATCCGTAGACTTGCCTCGACAATTCAATAATTTGGCGGCAGATGCGTTTCTGTTCAGTCTGACCCTGACTCTGTGGAAGGCTGCTGATTGTCGGTCATCCCTGTCCCTGTAGATGACAAGATGGCATTTGAATCCCAAAGGGTTGATGTTGCATCTGGAAAGTTAGCAGGGATTGCAGGTTCTGTGCCACCTCGAATGTGAATGATGGCGCTGTGCGAAGTGTCACATCCTACAACGGCCCACAGGATGGTTAGCGCCCGCGACGCTATCTGTACATGACTCGTCCCGCAGTGTCAATATTCGGTGGTTAGTCCAGATATCAATCGACATCGGGATTGACCTTGCGAGGAACAAGATGAGGATGTCACGCGATCTTCGCACGTGCTCAGTAGCTGACTTGAGGTATATATAGAAATCCCGTGACCGTGGCCGTCAATTGCAGTACAACCTGAAGCGAGTTGATATGACCCTTTAGAACTCGGCACCGATCACATTTTCGAGGCTTCGACATGGTCCTTGAATATTGATGCATTCATGCGACTGCAGAATGGTATTCTCGGTAGAAGTGCCATTTGAAGCTCGGTTAGAAGCCTCTCGCACCGTTGGTCCATAGTCAAGATAAAGACTCGTTCAATGGGACCAGGATGACTTGCTGTATTGCAGACCGTCAACCGAGAAAACTTGTTTGCAGCGCAAAGGACACCTGAACTCAAGCCGTATCGACAGGATGTTATTGATGCACTTGCGAGTCGATCACAGCATACCACTGTCTATTAAGATCGTCTACCCACTCAAAGCTGGGGGCACAAAGTACCGAAAATCGCCTCAGAATAGCTGAAGGAAAGCGGCAATCACAAGTGCTGTTTCGTGCATTGGCTTCCTATCGACTGCCTCAGACAAGAATGCTGCCTATGTGGCCATCGCCACGACAAATCATGTAGCGGGGCCTACGGTTGCCGAAGCGGCGTTTCACATATGCTCAGACATAAACATAGCCACCCCGAGGCCGAAGCGACAGACTCGCACAGCTCACTGCTCATTGAGGCGCAAGGCTTAGCAGGACTCACAAACAAGAGGCCAGCTTCAGTTCACACCGTCTGATCAGCCGCGTCATCGGCGTATCCAGTGATGTGAATCGATGGAGCAGGGAGCAGAGCCTCTGGGCGCCGTGACGGCCAGAGGTCATAGCACCCATTCAGACCGAGCCAGCGGGACGGATACTGGGAGTAAGTGGCTGACTCAAGCGCCATTCTAGAACGGAGGTCTTGAGGTGACGCCCGGACAGGCTCGGTAATGGTGGTGGTGGTCGTAGTATTGGTGTCGGGCACAATGTGATCTTTTGGAAAAAGACATCACACATCACACATCACACCACAAAGTTGGTTACTTTGCCCACCTGGCTTGGTAATCGGCACGGAGTGAGCGACAAGGCAGTCGGTCAGTCAGTCGATGGACATCATCAGTTCAGGCATCCGCGGCCTTAGCCAGTTGGTAGCTGAAGTACTTGGGTACTGTACAGTACTTATTCCATCCCAGCAGTCTTCCACTTCGGTTTGTCCGACAAACCGTGCTTTAGATCTGAGCTTGTGGTCCTGGCTGTACAGGGATCAATGTTAAGGCATCATAATCACAATTTTCGCTTGGGCACGCGGGAAGTTGTGTAAAGGGGGGGGGGGGGGGAGACAGAGGACTGAAGGAGATGTTGTCATGGGAAAGAGTTGGCAGCCATAAGCTTGGAAGGTAAGTTACCTCCAGACTCAGCTATCACCTAGATCTTCCCGATCAGACGACCCCCGTCAAAATTGATTGACTCTGAGCAAGTAAATTGATTCAGTCCCTCCTTCCCACCTTCCCTCCGCCCTGGAATCTCTCATGTCTAAATTTAACCTGCCCTCATCCTGGGAATTGTAGCCCTTTCCATCATGAAACCAGGAAAATCAAAACTTTGTTGCGTGCTACCAGAGTTACATTTCTACTTCGTTATGGACAGTAGACTACTAATACTGGAGGATGTGCATCCTGCATAGAAGCACCGATACTCGTAGTGAAAACCTACAATAGCTGATCCAAGTGTAAGGTCAATCAATCAATGCCAGCCTATTATCCACCCCCTCTCCTTGTTCTTCTTCCCCCTTTCAGGGCAAAAATCGCCGATCGCACCCAAAAGCCGTCTGGCGGCCCCCGCCTGGCGGCGCC